GGTTAGGTATATATATATTTTATACCTAACCGTTAACCTGACGGAAGGTATAGATTTTCCCATTAACCTACCCTACCCTGGCCGTTAACCACTCTATATATAAATAATCCATGCAGATACATTACTCTGTATCTTCTAAAAAAGTAAAAATATAGCTGTAAAAACAGATATTCTATATTATAAAATTTTAATAAGAATATAATTTGCTCAGAAGTTATTAATATATTTAATTACTATAATATACTCAGATCTCTTTAATTTAATAAGATTATATATAATACTTTAGTAAAGCATAATATCATCTCCTAGAATAATTCTTTAAAATATTTTATATATATTATTTATTAATTCTTTTATATCAGCAGAGTCTGTAAACAAATCTAATATTTTATCTAATATATTTTAAGTTAATTATAATTATATAACTATTAAATAGATATACTAGGCCTTATATTTTTCATAATCTTCAGTAAATCTAGTTAGATTTTTATTAATTAAATCTAATAAACTAATATTCTTAAATATTTAATATATTTAAAAATCCTATTTCATCTAATTTATATATTCTTCCAGTAAAATTAATAATCCTAGAATATTATCAGACATCTGCTTAAAAAATCTATCTGTTTATAAAATAATCTTGATAATTATTTCTTTCTCTAAAAAGAGATTTTTAAATAAGATTCTATATCTAACTTTATATATTATACTGGCTGTTTAGTATACTTAGTACAAGCAAATAAATAAACAGATAAAATATACTTTTTAATATAAATATATAATTCTATTAGACCTGTTAGACTTGCTAAGACTAATATTCTATAGAATATCTTATCTAGCAGTAATAGCTGGCTGTAATAAGACCTGAATAGCTTTATAATATAGAGACTGGGCTTATAATCTCTTGAAAAGTACTCTATAAAAGCAGTAATAAAAATAATAATAAAACAAATAAATAAAAGCAAAAGAGTGAATTAAATTAAGCTATCTAGGAGAGCAAAATAAAGCAATATAAAAAGATGCTTTGTAAGCGGTCCGAGCGCAGCACGTGACTAGCCTACATGAATGCCTCGACATATACTGATCCCTGCATTCTCCACAAGTGGTATTTTCCTGGCAATCAAACGTTTATTACGCTTGTAGCCGATACGATAGCCTGCCTTGCTCTACTTTCCTGAAATTTTATATTCAAGTTAAGGCAGTGAAAGCGGGAACGAGGAGAGTATTTATACCCTGTAACTGAGTGTCTATGATGCCGCGCCAACAATAATCAACGTAACCGTGACTATGTACAGGATAAATGGTGTTTTCTTGAGCCACAGACTTATCTACCTAATATGACGAATATAGTCATATACCAAGCCTACTATATCCTCGCGGTAGACAAAGTGCTGGCCTTCTGAATAAATCCCTGTATTGTTGACAGTATTATTATCACCTTTAGTCAAGATGAGTTGCCTGGTTCTTGGAAATATGTCTTGGATCTGCACAGACAAAAGGGAGGAGTGGAGGACATACTCTGATTGTGAAACCCCTTTTACTTCTTGTTCAATGACCTGAATCGCTCGGTGTACTATTGGTAGTGGACGAGTATTGAACCATATAACTGGAATATCACTGGTATGTATCCTGTGCTGCCGATTTCACAGGAATATGAGATCTTCTCGGTGGAGGCTTGGCTCTATTGATTCTGATGAGACTATCATGAGGGGATATGCAGTGCCGGCGAAAACGCATATAATCTTCCAGGCCATGAGAGAGGCACCTAATATCTTGAGGATGGGTAGTGCTTTGGAGTACATGTGTCTTAGCTTTATATCTGAACTCTCTGGGTGAAGCTGTAGTTGGCAATAGTAGAGAATATGGTAGACCTGAGAGGACAAAATGGAGATTTGGGGGAAAGCGGATGCTGTAAACTGGATGCCAGAGCACTTTTTAGCCACAGCGGCTCTCTTCTCTTGCTCTTAGAAAATTGTGAGACCTAATTCCTTGGTGTCAAGGGGATGGATATATCTGATAATCCAGGCTCAGTCATTCCTAGGGTAATCAACTGCCCCAATGCCAGGCTGGGAGCAAAATTTGGTTGGTCTGTTCAAGATCAGCTATCCTAAAATACCCATGATATGGTTGCAACCAATGCATTTGGGGTTATTTCGGTGTGATCTCACTCAATATTGGTCCCATATGTGGAATAGGTAGGTCTGCTCTCATTATCTTTCCTGTCAGTTGTGGTCTCTTTTCTTGATTGTAATATCACCAGATACTAGATTCTAATTCTTGATAGGCCGACCAAGAGAATTATTGAGATAAGGGCAAGGACTGACCCCTTGAAGTTGTTAGAAGGATGCATGTTAGCGTGCAGGGATTTGATATCTGTCTCCAGAAAATGACGCATCTCTTCATTCAAGTCCAGTGATGTGATGCATAATAAAAATATATAAGATTCTTAAAACCCAACTCTCTGACATCCAGAGGAACCACACCAATCCTCTCCTTAAATTAGCTGCTGCAATAAGTTCTATCCTATTATCCTTACCTCCCTTTCTCTTCTATATCCTAGTAACCATAACATGCATAATAACTTCATAGTTGCGGGTATATATGTTGCCGCCATCTCTCTTCTTCCTTCCTGCCCCGCACCTTCCATTGCTTTTTTTATTATTACCGGCCTAGCTGCTTCTCTTGCAGGTAATCTGCTCATGATTGGTCTCAACGGCAATGTCAGGCGTGCTGGGGTCAATGTTGAGGTTCTATTCAAGTGCTAGTCCTGGCCAGGTGTCCCTGACTATAATATCTAAATGTGCCATGATGCCAACATTGGCAGAAGTGTGACTGTCACTCAGACCTCCACTTCTTGTACATGCTCCTATGTCCCTGAAAACTGAAAATCGAATTACTGATTATAACTAGTCCTGAGAATTGAGAATGTTGCCGCTGAATGCATGAACCTCGCTACACTTTTTACTGAGGAGGGAACCCCCAGCCTATGTGGCTCTGCTTGCCTTGAGTACCCTAATCTCAGTACTGAGGATTACTAGAAGCTTATGGACATTATCAATAACCTTCTTTAAGAAGGCTTTGGCTGGTAGATAGGGCTGGACAAGTTAAGGATAATCTGGAAAGTTGTACTGTTGGCAGTTCGTATGCAGCAGCCATTGCTTTGCTATAATATATAACAGCAGTCTTTGAATATGTTTTGCTTATAGGTGTTGACCTTCTTGAGCTCCTATAATTTGCTATGATTGTAGACTGGAGATTTCTTCCACTGATTTTGAGATTATAATTTTTTTAAATCCTTAACGACGTATGGGGAACATCGTTTCCAATGTTTTGGTATCCTGGTTGGGCAGAAGAGTAGCTTCAAACGCTTAGCTGAGATACTGCGGCTACGGTGTTGACTAATGTAACCGAATACATGAAAATCCACATGCCTGGCCCACGGGTTGGGCCAGGTCAAGATACCTGTGTGATACAAACTGCCCAAACCATGGATTATCTTGACAAATTAAAGGTTTTTCAAGACTATTGGGACGTGATATTTCACTCTACTTGGGGTTTTGATATTCCTGATGTGGGTGTCAGTTGATTATGTCCAAATGCTACATAAGTGCTGTACCAGAGGGGCCTAAGTACGGCGCACTGCTTCGGTTGATAAAGGTTCTCCAGGTTTTGATCTATGTAGATTAAGCTTTATATTCGTTGCTACTATTACTTGTTTTCCCTGATAGACGCGCCACCGGGTGTGAAATAAATTGAAGATTCCGGCTCAAAATTCAGGACTTAGGGGACTAAAATATGGTGAACTGTGACTACAGGGCAGCTCATTGTACCAATATTAATGGACCATTGCGAGTCTCCGCGCCACCTCTTGGATTCGCACACTGCGCCAAACCTGAAATATTGTATACTCACTTGGTTGGTTATGTTCTCCAGATAAGTTGTAGACGTTTTGCATTGCCTCATTGGTAATCTCATCTTTATTGGTCAAGAAAAACAACACTTCTGGCCCGGTGAGGAAATCTGGGCGGTCAAGAACTACAAAAAAAGTTTAGTAAGGTTCCCTGTCACTTGGATGGCCGCGATTGTATCTTTTTTGTGGTAACTTGCGGGCCCTTTGTCCTGAAGTGGGCTGGGCTATGGCTACTCCTATCTCTGGTCATGATTTCATCAACTCTTGATGAGACGACAGAGTCGTCGCCTAGTGACTGGTTAGGGCCGGAATGAAATTCAAAATTTACTATCTTTCTTTGAGGAAGGCTTTCCAGAATTGTGGCGGTAAAAGCGCGCCCAATCATCTCCAATGTCAAGGGATTTTCATTGCTGTGAGCAAATATGATGTATATGATATACCTAAGGCCTGGCTCCAGAATAAGCACAGGGCCTGATGTCTGGACAATAGCCCCTTTGTCGGAGCATGACTGGGCAACAGTAATTTCCTCAGACAATAAATCAGTTCTGCGCTGCCATGCCTCTATAACCTCCAGCCTAGGTAGTCCAACTGACCTGTTAGGATTGCCCTCATCCTTTCCCAGGCTGTAATCGTACACATAATCCTCAATAACATCATCACGCTGACTTCGAATGTGAAGGGAGGCCAATTGTCAACAAATATGGTCAATATCTCGGCACTTGCGGGCCACAAGCTCCTCCCGTTCTGGCCAAATTTTGTCCTCCCATTCCTCGTCGTCATCAGGCTTGGGTGGAGGCAGGTCAACGCGAGCCTGGTACGGAAAACAGCGGTCGAAGTTGACGAACAGTTTCGGCTTCATAACCCGCATAATGCCGATAACCGCGGAAACTGTAGGAATTAATAACTAATATAACTCCCTGATGTTCCGGATCCTCTCTGCTGAGGGCGACTTTGGCAATTTCAGGGAAGAGACCTTCATCTCGAGATGGTGAGATGTCCTTGCGGTGGAAGATCTCACGCCGTTGATGCTCCACGCAGGCGAATACATCAATTTGTGGGGCACAATAGATCTCAAATGACGGCCAGGGTGATGTGGAGATCTTACGGGATAAGTATCGGCATATAGCGATGAGATCATTTTCTTGATCGAGGGCAACAGTCGTACAGACCTGGATTGCGAAGGCTGGATGTATCGCCTCAGGTTCCGGTGTGGTTGCTTTGTAGGCTAGCAGAGCTGCAGGCTGGCTAGTGTGGTCTAAATAAAACTGAGTAGTCCATTGTCGTCGCTTGTTCTGCGCAATATTCTTGTTTCTGGCCATTGCTTTTTCTGGGTTGACGGGAAGGAAGGTGGTAGTTGAGAATGCCAGGATATTTATACGCCCACCGCCGAGCTGACCGCTCTGCTTGCAGTTTCTGCTGGTTTCCGCTGATTGGTGTAAGTGTAAAGACTCGGTCTTTTACTGTAAGCGGCAAGCCAGTCTGTCGTGTAAATGAGACGACTATCCTATTGCAGTGTCAGACCTCCGTCTTTCATGCTTCCTTACCTAATTTATTTTAGTCTAATTTAGTAACAGTGTCTACCAGTGGCTTTTGGAGAGTCGGTGACTGCTGACAGACTAACGGAAATGAATTAAGATATTGAAAGGAGACAGTATAATAGACAAAAAGAAAACAGAAAGGAATCTGAGTTGCTGCTTAAATACTATATAAAGTAGCTATATGTGACAGCCACCTCCTAGTTAACTATCACTTAGTAAGGCGGAATTGTCAGGCAGGAAGCACCGGTTAAGGCAGCGCTCGGGCAATCAACAACTCTAGTCCAGCAACACTGTTTATCTTGTATTTGGTATAGATAGTTAAATATCTATGACTGGTAACTAGAGCATTCCACTGATTACTCTTATATATTATTTGGATGATCATAGATATCATGGATTAGTAGTGTGTTCTATTTGTAACAGGCTATGCTTTGATATATTATGTTTATATTTCTTCCTCAAGAATTTGAGCTTATCACGAAATGAAAAGACTACTGGTTAACTAAGACTGATTCTTGCTACTATTTGAATATGATTAGTAGAACAACTGAAACAATCAAATAATGATAAGTAAAGGTAATGCTGTGCTGTATTTCCCATGCCCTTTGTTCTCACTACTCGGTTCCATTTCCTCTGGCTTTCTGTTTCTGTCCGTTCTCCAACTCTCTCCTTTTACCTGCTTTCTTTCCCTTCTTTCTACCCCTCGATTTACGTTCGTCTTGCATACTTCTAAGGGTTACTACCACGTCTCAAAACCCTCCAAAATGCATCCACATAACCTGGCAAAACCTCATCCCAAAACTTGTTCTGAGAATACCCCAGCTCTTTCTCACACATATCCTCACTAAAAAGCACTCCGACATCCAGTGCATGACTTTTAATTACAGTAAATACCTGCCCCTTTGCACAAGCAGCATATTCAGTACATGCGTCAGTGTCTTGGCAATAATCTGTCGCTGTAGCCAAGTCACTACAGTGTAGCTCCACGGCCTTCATTGATTCATCTGTTATGCTCAGAAAGGTTTCAAGATGTGATCTGTTGATTCCAGGGTTTGTGGCGATGGTTTGTATAGAGGGTTTGAGGATAGCTTCGCTGACAAATGTGGTGTATTGTCCGCCGACGATCAGGTTGCCCCATAGTGCAGATGGCTGGGTAATAAGCCTCGTACGCATTGTCGAGTTTGGGTCCGGCAATAGAAGAAAGCTTATAGCAGGTTAGGCCAATAAGGGGAGAGCTGGTAGAGGTGGGGGTGAGGAGGGTTGGGAGACGGTACATTTGCGGATAGGGTTGATGTTGTAGGGTTAGAGATCAAGTGCGTAGAGGTATTAGGGCAATTATGAATTGAGTAGGGTAGATTGTCAAATCACTTCTCCAGAATGTTGCATAAACGTACGGGGAGAGCCCCATTTTGTACCCTGATCATCAGTAACATACGGTTATATGGGGGTTGTGGCGTCTCGTGTCTGAAGGTCCCATCGTGCTCGCAATCACTGAGGTCATTCTTACGTTCGATGTTGCTCTTGACTTAGTGATTAGAAAATCCCATCCTTAAAAGGGAGAAGAAACCTTCAATTCCAAATTCATAAAAACAGGAAGATGTACTTAGTTATTGAACAAAGTCCTGCGTCGTTTCACATCTTGCCGTCAAGTAGTAGCAGCCACCAATGCTTGTGGTAGCTTTGCGTCTTCTTCCGGACCAGAAGAACGAGCTATCATATCAGGTTGCGGTACTGCTGAGTATTTATTATTTCGACATAGAAACCACCTACATTGGTCAGTTGCTTTGACTTCGAGTCGAGCGAAACCTAATGAAACGGTAAACCTACCATAGCGCAGCTGCCAATGCTACGACGGCCGGGAAACCAAGTCCTACACTCAAGCCGATAATCAATTTGTGGTTGTTGGAATGAGAGTTGTTGTGGTCGTGATCATCATCAGTCTTGGAATGGGCGTTACTAGTGGCGGTCGCAGTGGGGGGAACGTAGGATACCGGTGTTCCAGATGTAGAACCCAGTCGGCGAGCATTACTTCCAAAAGGAATAGCACTGGTCAAGGATGAGAAGGTGCTTGCAGGGTATGTGGCGTCTATACCCGATTCGACTGTGAGAACAGTCGTCATAGTGCTCTTCACCGATGTCGTACGCTGGAGATAGACAGGGCAGTTGATGAGCCCTTGTGATGAACAGTCAACAATAGTATACGTCGCTGAGGTAGAGATTGTAGTAGTGACGAGATCGTTTCGCTGTCCAAGGGTGGCAGAGGGTGTTATGGTCGCCGGAGATCTCTTATAGCCGGCACAAATACTCTCCAGCGTGGTGTAGAACACTGGCACAGTGGTGTTGGGCGTGGGGCCCCATTGGTATGTATCAACAGCAACTGTCGCCCCCGCAGCAGCACCCACAGCAAGGGTGTACTCTGCAACCGCTTCAAAGCCGCAGTGGGCATCATTGCTTGTAGAAGCGTCGATCTGCAACAGAAAGTCGGCCACATACGCGGATACTTCCCCTCCAATCCCTGCACTAAAGCTGAGATACTCGAACACGGAGACCGAGTTTGGGGTTGATATCTGGAAACCAATACTTGTTTGGACTTGTAAGAGGGCCCGGAGGGATCCATGGCCTTGGACGGTTACTGGAAGAAATTCCATCCGCCCACCCGGTCTACAACATGTCAATTAGTGTTGGTCACCCGGGAAGAAAAGCCCACCTCGCCTAGGGCCTCAGCTTGTGATAGAGACTGACTCACACGGTGATACTCGACACATTGTTGTTGAACAACTCCAGAGCCAGCGTTAAACCATCTTCCAGCTTTATGTGGATTCCACTGCCAATTTCGATTTCCGCCTGGGCTATTAGAACAAGCGAAACCTGGAATATAGCACCGGCGTCAAGACCAGGAATCGATATTCCTGCTGGGGTCTCGGAAGTGAATAGGTCTAGTGTGTAGGTAGCTCCGGTCGACAGCTGAAGATCTAGGTCCAGATAGAGCTCCAAGCTATCGAACTCGACCTGTGCATGTACTTCCGGAAATCCGTTTACCTCATCTAGATCGAAGTTAAGATCCAATGTCGGCCAAGCGGGTATATCGATCAATTGGAACTGGGAGACGTCCTCGAGAATATCGCGGGCAGCTTCACGCGCAAAGTCTTCTAGCTGAGAAAGTGCAGAATCCGTGACATTCGCAATATCTGCCTCGGCGCTATCCACGACCGTGGTGACATTGAACCCATCCTCGACTGTCAGATAGCCACCAACAGTACCATTTATATAGCAGGCTTTGCAAACAATTTCTAGGCCAGATTGCAGGCTTACTGTCCCGTTTTTTGACCCAGCAGAAGTTTCGGTGCTAGGATAAGAGCGTCAGAATTAGTGTTTGTACTTTGCATTATGGAGGAAGCGGACTTAGTTTGATTACCTTGCTCCGATGGAAAATATAGTAGCATTTGCCCAACTCTTTGTCAACAGAGTCTGGTTCATCGAGTATGTCGTCCCTCTAGCCTCGTGTAGAGCCCGTCTAATGGCGATGGTGGCGTCTTTGTCAACATTGGTGTGAGCTTGCAATGGATCGTATTTCCCCCCCAATGCGCCCACGATGTATAAGAATTGCAGGCAGATGAGCCCACAAATGCCTTTGGCAATCATGCTGAAGGTGTTAAATTGCTAATCTCCATTTGCTGTTTGAATATGGAGGCAGGCGAGTGATTGTTCAAATAGTTGGCTGCTTCGCTCAGCCTTGTGCCGCACCGCAAAGGGGCAAAGGTGGTAACACAGAAAACAGTGGTATCACAGCCCCCTTATTACATTGAGGGGGCGAAATGATGGCGCAGCTTGCCTGCATTAGCGCTGTAATCGGCCGAAACGTAACTCTCGGGAGCTAAAATTGGGGTCGCGATAGTTTCGGTGGATCGTATACGGTAGAGTATATTACCTGGTTCTGTTACTCTATCACCACTATAAGTGTGGATTATTATGGCCCAAGTTCATTGGCATCATGTGGTCTCAAAAGAAAAGAAAAAAAAAAAAGAAAAGATAATATGCGGACAGGCATATCCCCATTCAACTTATGGGTCGTCTGGGAAGGACTAGAACAAGGCTAATTTGGCCCTAGCCCTTCCTAGCGGCGGACGGGCCTTCGTGTCGAGGTTTCCGTGCCTCCCTCTCATATCGCTTGTGTTACTTTTGGATTGGCCTCCGCTTGGGTATGTTGAAGATGAACGTATTCTTAGAGAAGACGTTCGGTCTACCGTAGACTATTCATACAGATCGTGGCAGAAGATACGCGAGGAGGTGCTAATAGAGTTGAGATAGTTTGTGCTAATCCCTAGATCCTTATATTGCTATCATCGGTATCGAGCTATGAAGATCATGAATATGAGAAAGGATGGAAATAACCTAGGGTAATATTTGTGTATGAGAGGTGCTATAGTGATAAATAGTGTCCCGGGCCTAAGTCAATCTTGTATACCAGATAGACCGGTTCTATGGCTTCCCAGACTATCTCCAGGATTTCTCTTAGCTCGAGCTTCCGAAGGGCTCTTCATTGTGATGAATAATATTCATCGGGAGGAGAATGGCAGCAGATCCATGTCTCTCGAAGAAAAGGGACAGTCATTATCGGGGGAACGCCGGTTGTTGGTATTCCCCGCACTTTCGGCCTGATCTCCGACCGCGGAACGGATATAGTATCACCGTTCCTACAGAAGGGATGCTCTACTAGATCTCACAACTTTCGCACCTGCGCTGGTTGTTACTCACTCATATCTCGAAGGCTACGAACACCATGTCGGATTCAAGAAACTACAACATTCTTGTCCTCCCAGGAGATGGGATCGGTCCGGAGGTCATGGCCGAAGCCATAAAGGTCCTGCGAACCTTCAACACTGCCTCAGTCCAGTTCCATCTGCAAGAAGAACTTATTGGCGGCATATCCATCGATACCTATGGCCAATCCGTTACACAGCCCGTAAAAGATGCCGCAGTTGCTGCAGACGCCGTCCTTTTCGCCGCGGTTGGGGGTCCAAAGTGGGATCACATCAGGCGCGGACTTGACGGCCCAGAGGGGGGTCTATTACAGTTACGCAAGATCATGGATATCTATGCAAACTTGCGACCGTGCTCTGTGGAAGTTCCAAGCCGCGAAATTGCTAGGGACTTTTCACCGTTCAGACAGGAGGTGATCGAGGGGGTCGATTTTGTAGTCGTGCGAGAGAATTGTGGAGGCGCCTATTTTGGCAGAAAAGTTGAGGAGGACAATTACGGTAAATCTGAATCCGCTGAGTGGGAAGCAGAAGGTGGCTAATGGTTATTCGGTAACACGAGTGCAGCAATGGATGAGTGGGGCTATTCCACTATTGAGATTCAACGCATTGCTCGTCTCGCTGCGGAGCTTGCCCTGCGGCATGACCCACCATGGCCCGTGATTTCTCTTGACAAAGCTAATGTCTTAGCATCATCACGTTTGTGGCGCCGTGTTGTCGAGGAAACCCTTTCAATAGAGTATCCACAGGTGAGGTTGATCCACCAGCTCGCGGATTCAGCATCATTGATCATGGCTACCGAGCCCCGAGTCCTCAACGGTGTGATTCTGGCGGACAATACCTTTGGTGATATGATATCGGACCAGGCGGGATCACTAGTTGGAACACTTGGTGTCCTGCCCAGTGCTAGCTTGGATGGTCTTCCTCATCCCGGCAAGAAGGAAAAAGTTCGCGGTCTATATGAACCAACACATGGCTCCGCTCCGACGTAAGTGTCGTTTGATATCCTGTTTCTTTTATTGCTAATAGCTTGAAGAATAGCCGGCAAGAACATCGCAAACCCAACTGCGATGATCCTCTGTGTGAGCCTAATGTTTCGATACTCTTTCAACATGGAGATCGAAGCGCGCCAGATTGAAGATGCTGTGCGAGCTGTTCTGGACAAGGGAATTCGCACTCCTGATCTCGGGGGCAAATCAGGCACTAAAGAGTTTGGTGACGCCGTAGTCGCTGCACTGAAAGGGAAATATCAGATCTGAGGCGTTATACATAGACTTGCTAGAAGTATCATATGTGTTGATGTCGAATGATACGTTAGTGGTCACTTGGACACTAGAAGAATATTTTGAGTGGCCAAACCAATATAGTTAGCAACATTTTCCTATATGTAGTTGGCCTTTGCCGTCCTGCGGTGAGCGGGCCGTCTTGATGGACAAGTCGTTGAAACATGATAACCCTTCTTCGGGGCTGATATTGTTATAGAAGATTTCATGAGTACCGCGGCATTCGATGTCTAACTTTGTCTCTCATTCTTATTGTTTGACCTAGACTGTGGAGACTAACTGATCTGGTGGTGTGAATCACGACGATGCTTCGGTAATGTGAAGCTATATTCTGATAAATTATCTTTCTCCCATTAAGCACATAGGATCAGGTAAATGGATATACAACCTTTTAGAAGTTGCCTGCAATTGTTAGTGTGATTAAGATGGCATTGCATCTTCCCGGGGCTGCTGTCCTTTCGAGATATTACGGTTAAGGAGAGTTATGATGAACCATGGTTCCACAGAGAGGTGAAATTCAACATCCACTTATATGGTGTTTTTGGACGGCTGATTTCTTAATCTGGAGAGCAGATGACCTTATTAGTAAGGGAACAGTCGTCATGATTACTTATACCTGATTATGACCGGGGTGCCCCATCCCTCTCTCCCTCATGAATCCTGCAAGCTGCGTAACAACTTCTGAAAATACAGGTACCCTTGCCTAGTATTCCTCCTTATATCAGCAGATCAGTAAACTAATAATGGCTTCTACTAGATCCAAGCAACGAATAAGCTACCGAAGTGCGGTTGTTACCACGCGTCCGACAAAAACAGGAAACGAAGCAAAGCCGGGTGCTACTCGTCGTACACACGATCACCTCGTTGAAATCATCGATACCCCAGTACGGTATTTGTGAAATGGAGGCAAAGAAGAATCTACTCTGTGCTCAGCTCGAAGGTCGTGAATCGCCTGCCCCGGAAAGTCAGACCGCCGAACAGCAGGCGCCTTTTTGCTGGGGCAGAATTCCTCGCAATCTGCAGCAGCCAGCATATAATTCAACAGAGGGGAGCTCTGACCCCGTCAAGCCCTTTGTGTTGGAAAGCAACCCCGTCCATCCTCTGGAGGCGCCGTTGGCGGCGCAATATGCGCATGACAAAAAGCGGAGTATCTCAGAATGATGTTGGTTTTATCTCCCTTTAACCATCGTTTCACTTCGCCGCATTATCTGCTTTCATTCTTGGGTGATGTATTCCGTCTATTAAAATACTCTTTGGGCCCCGGCTCATTCAAATTTTGTGAAGACGTATATGACTTTGTGGGGAATACTGAGAAGGCACTTCTATAGCCGTTGGTACAACGGTGTTCAGGATTCTTGACATATCGGAATAACACTCATTAACACTCTACCTTGGGTCATGGAATGGATGTAGAAGAGTTGTCTCATGTATATCAAGACACCATGCGGACCCATAAAGCGGTCTTCCTTAACGTTTCAATAAGAGAATCATCGACGCTGTTAGAAAGGGTAGATAACGTGATCAGCAGAAATGTTACATTATCTACCCCTGTAGCATCAATATAAGCGTACTCATACAGAACCCCGGGGGTGTCGTCAAATACCTGTTGAAAATGTAACCATGTGTGTCTAAAAAACGTCACAATGGCTGATGATACAGCTTTGTGGTTTCAAATCGAATATCTCTTCCGACAGCTTGAATTGATATTAGCAACAGCACCACTCAACTTGACTACTGACATCACCAGGTCTTTTGTAATGCACATCCAAGATTGAAAGGTTCCAAACCTGCCCTTGTGTGGAGTTGAGACCGATGTGACGAATAGGTTTAGACATATGCGATATTAGCAGCGAGGGCCCATGCCACCCGTTTCTACATACTGTTTGACAGTCAGATCCATGACAAACCAAGGCGACATCTGGTATGAATGTGGTTAACGAAATTTATAGCACAGTGAACCTCGCAGGATGTCGGATACTACATCTTTCCTAGACGTGTGTCTTTTCTGCTTATCATATACAATCTTCGAAATTGTGCACATTTCTAGCTCAACGATACAGATCAACCTCCTCCTAGCATTTGCAAATATTATTCACGGATAAGATTCGTTCCTCATTCCACTGCCCGTCTACTTCCAACCGACTACTAGTTCGAGACTAGCTTGTAGCTGGCGAACGCAGTGTCACCGTCAAGGCATCCTGGTGCAGTTACATTTTGGACGCCCTCCTCGCAATTTGGATCGGTGAAGAATTGCGCTGGGAAGAATTGTTAGGTGACATGAAAGATCTTAGGGAGACGGAGATTGACTTACCAGCATATCCTGCTACGACGTAATAGGTGGTGATAGAATGAATGGCATAGGGGCCTGCAAAGGTGCCACATTCATCAAGGTCGGATTGGTACAAGCCAAGCTCACCCATGTTGTCCTCGGCACAACCAGTTTCACCCCAGAGGCGGAGTTGGATAACTCGCGTGTCGGTGGTGGGCAACGCCATTGCGGAAACGGCTAGAGCGAGAACGGAACATAGCTTGAGCGTGAACTTCATAATTGCGGTGTGGTCAATAACTGGTGACAGGAAATAGATTATGAGATTTGGGTGTCTGAGGAGGGATTCTGCAACGATCGTAGTAACGCTGGTGATGGTAGAGGTATGTGTAGTCTGTGAGATTGATGCCAAAGACAGACAAGAGCTAGGTTTGGCATCTGGCTGGTGCTCTTTATATAGTTATTCGTTGTGATGGGTAGCGATTTCGCTCATCTATTTTTACTCCGTGGGCGGTGCAATGTCCGGATGGCAGCGGAGGTCACATGCGACAGAGGGACATACCTATTACGATGAGGATTTAGTTTACATGGTGGACTAAGCTGGGGTAGACTTGTACGTGGTTCATACAAGTCATACGTCTTGAGCTTAGCAGTAGAGTGGCCCGTTCGATCCCAGTCTCCTGTTCTGGCCACACGGAGAAACATGTCTTACCCAGGTCAAGGCCGTCAGCGCGACCGTCCACTCAGAACGCGGTGATGCGCGCCCCATGAGAGAGCCATCTGCAAATGACAAGGCGTGAGGAGAACCATCAGGCTCCCCATCCGTCTAAAACAGACAGTCTTCGGGATTTACCCGACTCCACCCACGAGCGAAATTCGTATGAGACCTTCGCAGTCTATCCACCTCAAAGCGGTTCAAAGCGGTCCGTTGCAAGGTCATTCGTAAAGATGGACCATGTGGTACGGTCAAACGAGGAGATGAATGTCAATACTAACAACACCACGCCAGATGGCTGCTGGGATCTATTTTACCTTCAAGACCGCAACTTGGGCGGGTTCCCATCCCGCACCACCGACAAGGCGTGGCTATGCTGAATCCAGAGGTACCATGGGTTAGGCGCTCCAATCTATGCATCTCATTTCATTCTCGCTACTCATCATACCCTCGCCCAAAACAGATTCGTTGAGCCCTGGACGCCTGTTAGGCCCCCTGCGTAGCAAGTCAAGAAATCGTGCAGGATGAATGACTAGACTCAGTCACGCACAAACGACTTATGTTACTATCGCATAATGCTCCTCGCACAACTGAATGCGTTACAACTCAAGATTGTCTGTGGAAAATAGAGTGATAAGGGTTCTGTGCAGTGGAGTTCCCACCCAAGACCCGGCAGTCATCTCACTGACGATAACATCAATGAATAATGCAACCTATCGAGAAGGTTGCAGGACGCAGGGTGATTTCATGGCTTGTTTTCATCCGGCAGGCGGTTCACAGACATGGTCTACTACCCTTTCCGGCTCGGGCATCCATCAACCCAGCTGGGCTCTGCATTATTCTTCATCGGTCATTGACCGGCGCGCCCTCAGCTAGCATGATACAACAACTACAGCCGGTTTATGAGAGCGATCGCTGCGCTAGGGTTGTTACCCCAGACTTCTTGATGGATATGGGTGATAGTTTGACTGCTGTCTTTCACTCCCGGTCAGAAGAGTTCGGTCCGCCCGTCTCCCCCATTCCACTAGCATAGCCTCTAGGTTAGCGACCCCGATGAATGCAGCAAATAAGGGCCGATAACAGGCGACTGTCTGTAATCTTGGGCAAAAGGTTCTAGAGAGGACAAAATAGCTTGCAATGTCACCGAGGAGGACCGAGTGTAGCTTATGGGCCGAATCTGGATAATCGCCGGGCAATCGCATAATCGCCGGTCCTTGCCCAAAAGCAACGTCACCGGCATTCAAGAAGAAGCGCAGATGTCTTCTTTGTAATCGAAAATCGTGTTCGGGAGTCTCACACCATGACAGTCATCGCTTCATCCCCCATCCAGTCGGACCAATCCCAACCGTGGCAGGAGATTGATCGGCTGGTGGAGAAATATTCTGCGCACCCAGATACACTCGATCCCAAGCTCGAAAAAGCTGTGGTTCTTCTTACAGGAAGTTCAGGAAGCTTAGGGTCGCACTGTCTAACACAGCTAGTTCAATCCAACCAAGTGAGCCAGGTTATTTGTGTTCTCCGAAATAGTCAGAGTCCTAGCCCATCTGTCAGCCCCAAGGCCTATCGCCAGCAGCTGCAGGAGAAGAAGATATTCCTCTCCGAAGCCGAATGGTCTAAAGTTACCTTCATCACTTGTGATCCGACGGACTCCCACTTGGGACTTGACGCAAGCGAGTATCGAGATGTCCAGCGTCGTATCACTCATGTTGTGCACGCTGCCTGGCCCATGGACTTTCGTCCAGGTTTATCGTCACTCTGTGATCAATTCCAGTTTCTCCGCCATCTCCTGCTTCTGGCCTCGTGCGGGGGCATGCGCCGGCGATTCCTCTTCGTCTCTTCCATCGCAGCGGTGGCCCAACGTGGGCTCACTCCAGCCCATGCGGGTGAATTAATCGAGGAGGCTTCCATGGTCTCCCAGAAGTCTGCTACCGGACTGGGATATGCCGATGGAAAGATCGTCTGCGAGAAGATCCTCGAACGGGCGGCAGCGACGTATCCGGACCAGCTGGAGATCGCCATAGTCCGAGGAGGGCCTATCGTAGGATCTCGCGCCACGGGCATTTGGACCACCAAGGAGGTGGTGCCGATGATGTTGCGATCATCGTTGAGCCTTGGAAAGCTGCCCCAGCTGCGGGGGGTAAGTTGCACTCGGAATTCCAAATGCCATGGGAGATGCAAGTGCTGACGTGATTGACGTGATGTATGAACAGACGTTGTCGTGGATGCCCGTTGACGATGCGGCCGCCGTCTTTTGCGAGATTCTTCTTGCGCCGCATCCGCTGGCGCCGGTCTACCAGGTGGAGAATCCCATCCGTCAGGCATGGAGCGATCTGTTGGACACCGTGGGCCCTGTCCTGGGGCTGACCACGCGAATCCCCTTCGACGAGTGGCTAGCTGCTGTGGTGGACGCCGCCGAGACGGAGGGCTCCACACGCAGGTACCCCGTGTTGAAGCTGAAGGCATTTTTTGCGCGGTTGTTCCAACCTGCCGTGTGTGGGCATGTTATCCTGGCCACTGATCGCTCCCGGGCCTGTTCGCCCACTCTGCGCCAGATGAGGGCCGTGGAGGATGAAGTGGTGCTGAAGTTTGTGCAGCACTGGAAGGACATTGGCTATTTTGCATAAGCAGCACTGTATCCCTGTCGTACCTGTGGCTTAGGCCGATCACCGCACTGCAGAGACGAGAGAATGACGCATTAACCTCTGACCTGTTATTCCTTTGAATATGCACACTTTTACTCCTCCCACGTATGGCTATTGCACCTTGTGTATAAAGACTCAGTAAAGGATGCCAACAACTGTACGTAATTCAACCACCGACTGCTTTGCCGAATTGCCGACCGTGGGCTGCGCCGGATAGACTGCGCCTGAACGGGGCTTCGCAGCATAACTTCGTCTTCCATTTTCTATTGTCGCGGATCACCAGTGTGTGGTTTGTAATCCTTATCAATTTCATAACCCCGGCGATATGAAAAGATTTGCCAAGTCAAATAGTAGTACTATTGGTAATACTACCACCGAGCACGGATTTAGATGAGTCGTAGGCGGATAGATCCCAACTACTTCAACCATGTATATTTCAAGAGTCTCAACGAGTAAGAGTACGGAAGTGTCGGTCGGGATATTACTACTAGTCCACAATAGTACTATTATCATTTATCGACACAAACAGTAGTACTGTAGATGAAAACAGATTAATGAAGTAATAGAAACAGAACCATTTAAGTTGTGTGGCAGCAGATCTAAATTTCGACAAGTCGAGCACCACCGCGTAATGAACCGCTGGTGCGTGCCAAATCCGCGGTCGGAAAGACAGCATGGGACCCTGACCCCCGGCCGTAACATGATCCGCCACCACATACTCAATATCCTTGGCTTCGCTGTCATTTCGATCCACCCTCCGCATGTCAAATTCCCAGAATAGACGGGCCATAGTGAGCATCACCTGTGCCAGCGCCAACGGTTTACCAATACAGCTCCGGGCCCCGATCGAGAAGGGCATGTACGCGCGGCCGTCGACTTCCTGAGTCCCCGATCCCTTCAGCCACCGGTCGGGATTGAACTGAAAGGGCTCTGGCCACTCGGTGACGCGGTGGTGAATGCTATAGATTCCTACCCCGACCTCACAGCCCGGAGGAAGCCAGTGACCATCGATGGAGGCGCCTCCGTCCTCAACTTCCCGCCAGAGAGCACTCGCTGCCGGCGGCGAGAGGCGTAAGGCTTCATCAACGCAGCCCCGCAGAAACACACAAGAATTCAAGGCTGGTCCCAGGCGGATATCCGTCAGCGAGGCAAATGCCGACCGTACCTCGTCTGTTACCCGGCGATGACATTCAGAAGAGCCGGTCACGTAGTGGCATACAGCAGCCATGGTGGTTGATGACGTATCAGATCCTGACCTTTCGTCAGCATGGTAGCACTGGCCGCGGGAGCAAAGGGTGGGCCGAGGGTCACCGACCGGCAATGATAAAGGTGGCAGTCTCCGTGCTCAATTCCGTCACGCCCAGACCCTCGCCCGTGGCAGGGTCCTTGCATTGCTGTAAGAAGGCAAACAGGTCCCCACCCTTGTCAAGGGCACGCAGCCGCGTCCCCAGGAGTTCTCGGATAAATTGAACAAATTGCCTGCGACCAGCAATGGACGAGGGAAATAACCGACCATCCAGGTTGCCTGTCGCCAGTTCCTGCGCTTGCAGAAGCACGCTGAGTCGAATGTTCGACGCGGAGATTGCCTCAATCACATAGCGATATTTCGACGATCGGAGAGTGTCGAAGTCCGAGTCGAAAGAAACCGAGGTCATTGTATCAAAAGTGAGGCGGTCAACTTTTGACGACTGTTAGCTACGCTATCATATTTCAGGTTGACAGGAGACTTGCAGGTGCGTGCCATGTCAAGAGGCGCCGTCCATCCATTCTCCATTGAAGAGGGCATCGTGATCAAGCATCCGCGTATGACCTGGGATAGTCGATCAGGCTGAGAGACGATCCTGGGCTGCCACGATTCAAGACTGCGGGCGGAGAATCCCTGGCTCAGCACCCGGCGTCGGCGGCTATGCTGGATTTTATCTTGCATCGTGAGGGTATTAGGTGCCTGCTGCGCGAGCACCCGGTAGTTCACGTATTTCTTGACGGGCGCGCGATGACCGTATATGTCTTGGACAGCCCCTGCCGTGTTAATTAGCAGCCGGTTGGGCGCATAACGCACATGGTCCCCTGTTGTCATGTTAGGCGGAGCTGAAGTGCACATCCTGTGGTGTAGGGAAAATTACCATATCGCTCGTGGCAACGGTAGATGTCAATATGAATGTCCCCTTTCCACGCATGATACGCGGAATATAGATTGCTGAACCGCGCAAGGAGAGGACCTGGGTATCTGGCCAGAGGATGGAAGACGCCCAGATACAGGGCCCGCGTTAGAATCTGGCCTCCCCAATGACCGTTAGATTGGCGTCGGTCTTGAAGGAGTTTAGTTGGGTCTGATAGATGCACTTACAAGTAATATGAAGCCAACCAGCAACACAATGCCTACATTTCCTGCTTCACCCACGCCAGTAAACGGCTTGAACATCATGTTTGGCAAAACTGGCTGCTTGGTGTCTTGGGTCACCTTCCTTGTTGACCCGCAGTATGCTTCAGTGAGAAATTGAATAAAGACAAAGTAAAGTTCTGGAGGTCCCTTCACCTGACTTGGGCCGGATTAAATTGGCTGTGGAAGTAAGTTCGTCTCAGTAATTCGCAGCGGGGCACCCAGATTGAGCTTTGAATGGGACATGAAGTTGAATCGCGGTCACAGGCAACCTGGATTATGCACCGAGGGGGTTTGCATCCACTGGGTCGGCGCATATCCTCTGCGGAGTCAAGGTCGGTGACTATCCTGACTACCCCGACTATCCCGATGTAAGTCAGACAGATCAGCGTTATTGAAGTGATAACCGTCTATCCGATATGACATTCGGCCCATAATTGCGCTGGTCTGCAGGACCAAGAACGGAACCCGGTTGCTCTATTGCAACCCTAACCTGTTCCAAATTGCAACCGACTTGATCATTATGGCCCGTGCCTCCTCTCGCACTATCTTCATGTTTTATTACATCAAGTGCACAACCCCATCACTGTATGGACAGAGCAAATAATCAATCTTAACTTCAGTAGATTCATTCAATCTTCATTGAACAGCCACAACTACGAGTACGACGTAATGGGGATCACGGTTGATGAACAGAACCATGCTTCACGCTCGCACGAGCCTATCGCCATCGTGGGCATGGCCATGCGGCTGCCTGGCAGAGTAAACGACAGCGAATCCTTTTGGCGGATGCTAATCGAGAAGCGAAGTGGGCTCTGTGACGTGCCGAAGGACCGATATCACCTTGACGCCTTCCACGATCCGCATGGCAAGCGGGGAACGGTGAGCATGCGGCAGGGCTACTTTCTCGACGACGTTGATGTCCGCCAATTTGATAGCAATGTGTTTTCCAGCCCCAAGAAAGAGCTAGAACGGCTGGATCCGCAGCAGCGCCAGCTCCTCGAAGTCTCGTATGAGTGCCTGGAGAATGCGGGATGCACCCTGTGGCGGGGTCGAAAGATCGGCTGCTACGTCGGCGTGTTTGGCCAGGACTGGTTGGACTTGAATGCAAAGGAGACACAGCATATGGGTGCCTATCGCGTTACGGGCTATGATGACTTTGTGCTGGGGAATCGTATTTCGTACGAGTTTGATCTCCGCGGCCCTAGGTAGGCCTATTCCTTTTTGTCATACTATCCATCAACTAAAGTGTGAATCTAATGAGTACCAAGCATGACCATAAAGACTGGATGCTCATCATCATTGGTATGCCTCCACCTCGCCTGTAAGTCGCTGCGCGACGGTGACTGTGAGGGTGCATTGGTTGGTGGAACAAGCTTGATCTTTTCGCCTACCATGAGCCTGGCACTTAGTGATCAAGGTGTGCTATCGCCCACTGGAACGTGCAAGACCTTTGATGCATCTGCCGATGGTTACGGGCGTGGTGAAGCAATCAACGCTATCTACATCAAGACCTTACGACAGGCCATTCAGGACGGAGATCCCATCAGGGCAGTCATCCGAGGTACGAGCGTTAACTGTGACGGTCAGACGCAGGGAATGCTCACCCCGAGCCCAACCGCGCAAGAGGCACTGATGCGCCGTGCGTACGAGATGGCCGGTATTACTGACCTCGGCCAGACGGCCATGATCGAATGCCACGGTACCGGCACCTCCGTGGGGGATCCTCTCGAGACCACGGCCGTGGCGAAGTGCTTTGGCGAGACTGGTATAATCATTACCTCGGTATGGACGGAGCTCTGCGCATTCAAAAGGGACCACTGAGAGACTGATCAAGATTTGTGTGGACCAGGTCAAACCCAATGTCGGCCACTCCGAGGGGGCGGCCGGCTTGACGAGTCTCATAAAAGGAGTTTTGGCACTGGAACACCGTCAAGTGCCGCCTAACATACACTTTTCCGAACCGAATCCCGACAGTGAGTGTGCCTCTGGCTTCATTATCCAGTGTATGTCTAATTCGTGGCCTGCTGTCAGTCCCTTTTAAGGCCGGCAAGCTGCACGTCCCTGTGGAGGTTGAGCCATGGCCTGCGGACCGTGCCGAGCGAGTCAGCGTCAATTCCTTCGGCATTGGCGGTGTCAATGCCCATGTAGGAGGCCCTTAGCCCTTATCTGCTAGGGAATATTTCCTCATCAGCTCCAGGTTATTCTTGAATCCCCACGTCAATGCGGGATCGTCGATCAGATGTCACGCCCGGACCCTGTTCTTGGGGGAGCGAACGCCCATTTGCTACTCTTCTCCGCCCACAGCGCAGTCTCCCTGCAGACTTCCATCGCTGCACATCAAGCGTACGTTGAGCAAGGTCATGCCCCCTTGCAGGATGTGGCATACACGCTCGCCAATCGCCGGTCCCATCACACCTATCGCGCTTATGCGGTTACAGACGACCAAAAGTCCTGGAAAGTGTCGACAGCAGAAGCTGCCACTTTGCCTCCACGCATTGTGTGGGTATTCACGGGACAGGGAGCACAATGGCCGCAGATGGGGGCAGAGCTTCTGGAAGTAAATGCCACCTTTCGGGACACAGTTCAGAAATTGGACCGTTTTCTACGCACACTGCCCAGTCCACCGCCATGGACGATCGAAGGTGAGAAGCACGCTCCAAGGTTAAATTTGGATGAAGGCTCAGGCTAGAATTCAGCGGAGCTACGCAAGCCAGACACGATCAGTCGAATCTACGAAGCCGTCATGGGTTACCCCTTGTCCATTGCCCTCCAGATAGGGCTTATTGATGTGTTGCGGTCCTGGGGCATCGTCCCCACGGCTGTGCTGGGTCACTCATCCGGGGAGATGGCTGCTGCATATGCCTCCGGCGCCATCACTGCCGAGGAGGCGATGGCTGCCGCCACCTTCCGAGGTGCGAGCCATGAGACCTCCTCCCGCAAAGGAGCCATGGCGGCCATTGGTCTGGGTCCCAAAGAAGTGCGGCCCCTACTCCAACAAGGGGTCGTGATTGCTTGCGAAAACAGTCATCAGAGCGTGACGATTTCAGGAGACACCGAACGGGTCGAGGAGGTGGTGCGTCGTATCCAAGAGGAGCAACCGGGGACTTTCGCTCGTTTCCTACGCGTGGAGAAGGCTTTCCATTCTCGTGAGTGTACCCGCAACCCCTGACTACCATGTCTAACTAGATGCTCACCCAATGTTAGACCATATGCAGGAGTATGGACCTCACTACGAACGGCATCTCCAACCATTTCTTCAAAGCAGGTGCCCCGAGGTCCCCTTTTACTCGACGGTCACGGGGGACAGGTTAACGGGAGATGGCTTGGGCGCCACATACTGGCGTCAGAACATGGAGAGTCCGGTGCTTTTTAACGCCTGCCTGCGATCCGTCCTACGGGACTATCCCGACAAGCTTACCTTTATCGAAATCGGACCGCACCCTGCGCTTAAAGGGCCTATCCGACAGATACTTCACGACGTCCAACGACCAGACGTCGGGCACGTGGGAACCCTCCAACGATCACAACAATGCCAGGGAAGCCTCCTACAGTGTGCGGGCACGCTTTTTCAGCAGAATGTTTCTCTTGACCTCGCAAAGGTCTGCCCCCGGGGTCAGTGTGTCACGGACCTACCCCGTTATGCCTGGCAGAAAGATGTGTCCCACTGGGCCGAGCCACGCTTAGCCCGCGACTGGCGCTTTCGAGCATATCCGCCGCACGAACTTCTGGGAAGCCGGGTAATTGAAATGGGCCATGAGCCGTCGTGGAGGAATGTACTAGCCTTGGAACACCTTCCTTGGCTGGAAGGCCATCGCGTCAGTGATCACACCGTTTTTCCTGCCGCAGGTTATGTTTCTATGATCGGGGAGGCTCTGCTTCAGTTGGAAGGAGAACCCGTCTACTCGCTTAGAAACATCAGCATCTGTACAGCATTGACGTTGCAAACGGAAAGGTCGACGGAGGTCCTGACAAGTCTCCATCCACTATCACTGGACTCATCGGAGGCGTCTCCATGGTATTCATTCAGCATTAGCTCCTTTGACGGAACCCGCTGGGTGCGAAACTGCTACGGTGAGGCTAGAGCGTCCGTAGATAAATCTGTAGCTAGGAACGTCGACGAGTCAGCGGTACCATTGCCGCGTCCAGTTGATCAAAGAACTTGGTACAATGTCCTGCGGCAGGTGGGCTTGGATTACACGGGGGCATTCCGTGGTCTGCGATCCATCTCAGCTGCGACAGTGGATAACAGAGCCACTGCGACCGTCCCGTGGCAGAACATCCACGGAACTGCACATTATGCGGTCCATCCCGGAATGATCGACCAGTGCTTCCAGTTATTCACCGTGTCTGTCTGTCGCGGTCAGGCACGGAAATGCCGTCATCCCGCCGTCCCAACTTTCATCGAAGAAATGGTCGTTATTCCCACCAAGGGTAGTGTAGAGGTAGATTCCCATATCCCTACTTCTGAGGGAGGATCATATGTTGGCGAACTTGTTGCCCATTCAGCAGGCGAGCTTGTCCTGTCTGTGAAAGGGTTCAAGGCTTCTGCCCTCACTGCAGCGAGTGCTGTCTCGGAAGATGTACCGCTAATAACCCAGTTGGAGTGGAAACGAGACGCTGACTTCGCTGATTTGTCGCAATTGATGTACCCCCGTAGGCACTGTCCTTCTGAATGGGCCCTACTGGAGGAACTTGTTCTTTTGTGTATGCTGGAGCATCGGGGGCAGTTACAACTCGACGAGCAGACCCCTGAGCATCTCCGGGTGTTCTTTGCCTGGTAAAAGACTCAGCTAGACCGATACAGGAGAGGGTCGAATATTTTGGTTCCTGCAGATCTCGATCTCGAAAGCATGAGCCGTGCCAATCGTCTGGCTCGCGTGGATGCCCTAGTGACCCAAGTCAAGGCCTCGCCATATGCAGTCTTCGCCACCGCGGTACATCGCCTTTTCATGGCCGCTCCAACTATCTTCACCGGTGAAACCCATCCGCTACAGGTCCTCCGGCAAGACCAAATTTTTGAGGAGTTTTGTGCTATCACGGACTCTCTAGAATACACAGATGCGGTGGCGCTCTTAGGTCATAGCAACCCCGTCATGCGTGTCCTGGAGGTCGGCGCTGGGACAGGCGGAACTACCCGGAAGATCCTCCAGGCGCTTACCTCGTCCAATGGCGAGCGCTTGTACAGCAGCTATACCTATAGCGATGTTTCACCAGGATTCTTGACGACAGCACAGGAGCAGTTTGCCGACCGCGAAGGCATGCTATATGCTGTATTTGATATCACGCAAGACCCTGCAACTCAGGGCCTCGAGCTGGGGCAGTACGATTTAATCGTTGCTAGTAATGTAAGTGATGTTAACACTCAGTAGCTACGATATGTCGGGTATGAGTGTTTACCAAAGTTAGGTCGTGCATGCCACGCCGTGTTTGCAGACCTCTCTTCGACACCTCCGCAGTTTGCTGAGCCCCAGAGGTCGTCTCTTCTTGCATGAGCTCTGTCCTGGTGAGTGGGGCCTTCTAGACCACTAAGTGTAGTGTGACTTGAGAGCTAATAATGGGCAGAGGCCAAATTTTATGATTATGTTATGGTAGCTGTCCTCCCAACTTTACAGCCTGCAGATCCCCCGCTCCGTTGCTGTTAATCTGTCTTGATGGCTAATAACAGGTATATATAGGGATATTTACCTGGGTGGTGGCTTGGACGGGCGGGCAATCGCCTCGAACAGCCATATGTTTCACCGGACCGATGGACTCAGGAACTAAAGGCCGCAGGCTTTGACGAGCCCGATGCCGTCGTGCTTGATGGAGTTGTCCCATATCATAGCAACGCAGGCATGATCGTTTCAACGGCCCGTCCGCAAACAATTCCCTCTAGGGTGACTCTGTTGTGTTACACCCCAACAAAAACATACGTGGAAGGTCTTATTCAGCTCCTACATGACCTGAAAATCTGCGTGGACATCTGCACCCTAGGCGAGCCTCTGGCCCCCACGCAGGATGTAATATCTGTGCTAGACCTGCAACAGCCTACAATCCACGGCATGTCAGAGACAACGTTCAAGGTAATACTGGGATATTTACAAACACTCAAGGAGAAGATGTTGTGGGTCACCCGTGCGTCACAGGTGAAATGCAAAGATCCCAGAGCTTCCATGATACTGGGACTAGCGCGCATCGCCCGCAATGAGTTGTCGGCTAGGCTGATGACGGTGGAGGTGGACAACGTGACTCCGAACTCAACTGCGGCGCATTCAACGATCAGAATCTTTCTCCGTGGTCCTCTTTCCGACCTTGCGCCTGACTCCATGAGTCCGGATTGGGAATATGCTATTGTTGACGGGGAGGTTTTGGTGCCCCGTGCACATTGGACTAATATCCCCGAGGCCTTTTCGCATCTCCGCACCTCAGCCCCCTCGACGCGGAAACAGCTCGCCATTGAGACGCCGGGCTTGCTTCATACTCTAGGGTGGACGGAGAATGAGATTGACAGCTTGGCAGGCGACGAGGTCCTCGTTGAGACCAGAGCAGTGGGCTTGAACTTTCGTGTACGCCGCTTGTCCCCCTGGATATTTAAGTGGCCCAATTGCTGACATCTGATACAGGATGTGCTGATCGGTCTTGGGGTGCTTGACAACAGCGCTAGAGAGGTGGGACTTGAAGGTGCTGGCATTATACGAGCCGTCGGTGCCCAGGTCAAAACTCTCTCTGTCGGTGACCATGTAATGTATATGTCCAGTGGGTGCTTCGCTACCCATGTAACTTTACCAGAGGCTATCTGCGTCCGAATGGATGGGACTATGTCCTTTGAGATGGCTGCATCGCTGCCGTGTGTATTCACTACAGCTGCCATGGCTTTGGTGGATAAGGCAAGATTAGGGACGGGTCAGGTACGTTCATTTCCCAACGGGACACCTGCAGACTCCCTGACGACTTCAATTCTCAGTCCGTTCTGATCCATTCTGCGTGCGGTGGAGTCGGCTTGGCTGCGATTCAAATCGCCCAGATGATAGGAGCACAGGTACGTGCCATCAATCGCATGGCTGGAGCATCGCTAAAGGACACAGATATACTGCACCGTGGGGAGTGAGGAAAAGGCACAGTATCTGATCGACCATTATCACATTCCGCGCGAGAAAATCTTTTATTCCCGAGATGCATCCTTCCAGCGGGACATCATGACGGCCACCAGAAATCGGGGTGTCGATGTGGTGCTCAATTCCTTGTCCGGGGAGCTATTGCTGGCCTCATGGAAATGTGTTGCCGAGTTTGGGACTATGGTCGAGATCGGCAAACGAGACTTCCGCCGCCGTGCGAAGCTTTCCATGGAGGCCTTCGAGGCCAATCGAACATTTGTTGGGCTTGACCTCTGGCAGCTATCTCAACAAAGGCCCAGGCAAGCCGCCGAGTAAGTATACCATTTCCAAAGCACCGTGCGCTCCTACTGACAAGTTAACTAGGCTCCTAGAGCGTTGTGCGGACTGGATACGGTCTGGGGCCATCTCCTTAGATGCCCCGGCCAACATCTTCCCGGCCAACCGAATCCAAGATGCCTTCAGATTCATGCAGGCGGGTCGACACATTGGGAAAATTATTATTACTATGCCTGATGACCCTATTGATCTTGGATCAGTGCCTGGGAAACCCTCCATCACTCTGCGGCCCGACCGCAGCTACCTTCTTGTGGGTGGGCTAGGGGGGCTGAGCCGCGCGGTAGCTTCCTGGATGGTTGAGCTCGGAGCCCGACATCTCATCTTCCTCTCCCGCTCTGCTGGCCAGCTCCCTGAGACTGTCCAATTTGCAGCTGAGCTTCGCTCCCAGGGATGTGAGGTCCACTTGGTTACAGGCACCGTATCTGAGACAAATGATGTCTATAATGCAGTTAATGCAGCGGGTATGCCAGTGGCTGGCGTCATAAACATGTCGATGATCTTAAAGGTACGTGAATCGCGATGTTTATGAGAAGCCGACTAGCTCTGACCCCGTTCTCTAGGATGTATCACTGGCGGACATGAACTTCTCCGACTGGACTAGCGTGGTAGAACCCAAGGTTCAGGGGACCTGGAACTTGCATCATGCCACCTCTGCTGACCTGGACTTCTTCATTCTATTCTCTTCGTATAGTGGGATTGCTGGTCAATGGGGACAGGCAAACTATGCGGCCGCCAACACCTTTCTAGATGCTTTTGTGCAATATCGACATGGAAAGGGCCTGCCGGCATCCGTGATAGATGTCGGCGTTATGGGTGAGGTGGGTTTTGTATCACAGAATGAGGCTCTATTCGACCGCTTCGCGAAGAGTGGTATGCATATCTTGAAGGAGCAGGATCTTCTGGATGCAATGGTTCTCGCCATCGCACGATCAGCTCCTGAACCCACCGGAGCCCAGGCTGGGGCGTACTGCAATGCCAGTCAGATTCTACTCGGTGTACACACTACCGTTCCCATATTGACCCGCTTCAGCCGAGTAGCCTGGAAGAACGACATTCGGATGAGCATCTATCATAATATCCATGGGGGCAGCGAGGTATCCCCGGCTGGAACCTCAGACCAAAACAGCCTCCGGGGATTCCTTGCTGCATGTGGCTCTCGACCCGAGATCCTGGAAGAGCAAGAAGCCGCAACAAGAATTGCGCAGGCATTGGGCTTGGCGCTAGCAAACTTTCTCCTGCGCGATGCTCAGGCCATCAGTACCCACGACTCCCTTCCGACGCTAGGGGTCGACTCTCTTGTGGCCATGGAGGTCCGAAACTGGATTCGGCAGCAGCTCGATGTGGATGTCAGTGTCTTCGTGCTCCTGCAAAGCCTGTCGCTACTGCATGTAGCTGATCACCTTCGCCTGGCTCTTGTTGCTCGCCTGGCGGCCAACGGGCCTACCGCTGTCGAGGCATCGTAGATCCACCACGTAGCCCCGATGCAGCCGATTGCTAATCCCTAACCCTCGTGCGCCGAACTTGCCCAGACCGTGGGCTCTGCCGGTTTGGGACACTGTACGCCTTCTAGGTGCTAACTTCGGAGTAGGAGTAGCGTTGATGTGCAGAATGGCACGGGGATAATTGGATGGTGGCTTGGAACTTGGGGGTGCAAAGGGATTTACCTTCGTCGGGCCAGTAGACTTGTGAGCCCCACAGGAAGTATCCATTTATTCCAATTGTGCATAAAGGCGCACAGACGACCACGTACGTCTTTTTCAAGTCGAAGTTACACGGAAGGTATATGTGACAGGGCCCGTGGACGAGAGCGTTCACCGATTCCCATTCAATAGTCAACAATACCATTTAATTTATCCTAAAACCTGATTGCATAGTGGTCAGTGCGATTTCGTACGATTGTTTGTCATTAGTGCAAGAAACAACATCCAGTGGGCGTGTAGGTCAGCCTCCTGGTTGGCATAACCGTTCGTGATTCCACCATGGACTATGTCCAATTCACCTCAATTGGGTGGTAGGCCTTGTATTTGCCATCGGTCCCCGGAGAAAACTTCCGGTAGCTGGGGCCTGTGGGAGGGACGAAGACGTTCCTATTGGACGTATGAATCTCATAGTTCTCTGCGCTAAACCTCGCCGCTGGCGAATCCCTTGCGACCGGCGAGGGTGAAGACTTGTAGGGATGATTGCCCTTATCCACCACACATGAAGAAATTCCGCACCCACGGCCAATATTGACTCCGATCGATAGCCCGTGATAGCTCTGCAGCTGTCACAGGGATGATGCGTTCCCTGGCCCCAACCCGACAACCCCCGCCAAGGCACGAGCAATCGGCGATCGACAAATGGTAACTATGGAGTTGGTCCTGTGTCGAGGTCGGTACCACCAGATCCCGAAGCCTACCATGTTGGAACAACCTCCCTTCGCTTACTGCACAGATCTCGACCCGAAACCCCGTTCCTGGCCGCCTAAAATCGATCATAGATCTGGATCCGGATGATATCCTTTACTAGCGCCGCGTTGCCACCAATCCCCACTCTTTCAGCTGTGCTGTTGCTCAATGCACCCTAGCACCCCGCCCTTTACTCCATCCGCCGGTCCGGATAGTACCCTTTTGGGTAGTCAGAAGTCTGACCAGACTTAGGTCAGAAGCCATCCACGTCCGTGATTGGAGGGTGGGCTTACCAGGCTCTAGGTCATTGCGCAGTGTTAGTGCGGTCATGGGGTGGCACCTGGGAGGGCATTGCTTCACAGGTAGCCAATACCTGCCCATTGCAAACGAGCGATGCAACATTCCATGATCTCCCTTCTTCAGTCAAGGCTGCGTGCGGCCAGCACATCTTATCTACAAGGTGAGACAGGTTATCTGCCGTCGACGGTAAGCCGATGAGTACCAAGTTAGGTTGGACGGTGCGTATAAATAAACGGCCATTGGGTTTCATTGTTGCAATGACCATGTGCCGCTGAACATGTCCAACTTTCCAGACTCCCTTTCACGTGGCACAATGCGCTCCAGGAGGCTGCGTCTAGCCTGTGATACCTGCCACAGGGCTAAAATACGATGCACCGGCGGTAGCCCCTGTAAGAAGTGTGAGAACGCGTGCGTCAATCCCCAGCACCAAAGGCCAACTGGTCCGGCGAAGTCCCAATTCTAAATCATCGAGGGATAGTAATGTCCCGTGCCAGTACAGCTACACCCAAAAGCTTGGCAAACCCAAGGGCAGCCGGAACAAGAGGACACTTGCTAGGCTGAACGCATCCAACAGTGGGCGACAGGGGCCAGCAAGGACCCCGGACAGATTGCTACCATTATCGTTGCCGGTTTCAAATACCCCTCCTCCAACAATTGCCGAGACCCCTTCGAGGACTTTGCTAGATTATCAGCCATTGGAGGCCGATCTCGAATGTCCCTGGGTAGACCCTTTCTTCGATCTCGATGCTACAGTGTATCCTCCACCACCGGATGGAGGCCTGTGTCAGGTGAGTTCGCCGTGTCTCGCAATCTGAAAATCCCAGTCAAACAGTAATGACAGTCCTTCAGCTCGAACCTACCTACCCAACCTTGAAAAACGGTATGTTTCTCTCACGGGTGAAATGCAAAATTACCACAGGCTCCTGTCGATTGGGACTGACGTACCACCACCTGGTCTCCAGGAACCGAAAACGGGCAGTCCAATGAAATTAACACATTTGATTCCACACAGCAGCATCCAGACGCAAGGCTCACATCCCCAATCAGTACTACTATCAACGACGATATATATAGAGTTGACGTTCAACCGCGTGTGGTTACACAGAAGCCGAATGCTACAACCCCCAGCCACATTCCGGCTTCTTACCCTCCCAACAGGGCACCCTTCGGTACTTCTATCACATCATCCCTCTTCTTTGAAAATCCCAGCCCAATCCAACGCGAAGGGGGAACCTCATGTTCCTGCCTCCGGCTGCTAACAGAACAACGCTATCTCCTCCATTCTACGGAACGCAACAACCTTGCCATACCGTTAGATCGGGTTCTATCAATGGCTTCAACGTTCATTGGCTGTGCTGACGGTGTCCTACACTGTGTGCTGTGCCGACTTGACAGCACGGTATTGCGACTAATCATGACGGTGCTCCAGACAATTTTCAGCTGGGTTTATATGGGTTATAGCGAGCAGCCCGGGTCCCCCAGACTGCCCCCCATTCACTTTGGCGATTGGAGGGTTCCGGAGCAGGATGGGGAAATGGTGAAGCTGCTGCTTACAAGGCACATGCTATCCCTCTGTCGCTCTGTGGTTCGTATCCTACAGCTCCGGGTGGATGAGATGCATCTACTTGCCAAAGTCCAAACGAGGTTTCATTGTATGGACACTGCAAGCATGAGCGTTCTAGCAGAACGACTATCTAGCTCACTGTCGGATGTTATTCACCTGGTTCAGCATTGCGGCAAGGGGAAGGATGTGATCCCCGACTCGCCATCATCTCAAAAGAGCCCTGAAAAAAGTGGAACTGTCGCAGAGTCGGGTTAGGCGCGGACGGTTGCTGCGTGACGAGAAAGTGTACGCCTTCGAGGCCTCTTCTTGACATCCGTTCGCGATCGTACGCGACGGATGGCTTACCCTTAACTATATAATCTGTTGAGCGTGGCGTCGATCAGAGCGGCATGTTTTGAGTTAAACTTTAGCAGTGGTGCATTCTTCGCGCGTTGATGGTTCAAGTCCTCAGCCTAGCCAAGAAATCACCTTCAGAATCAAATGTCTTAGATCCCTTTAACCGTTTCAGGTGAAAATTACAACTTATTTTCCTGGTCCCCCTAAACGTCTGCTGGACCTACTATTGCAATCTTTCCGTATGACTCCCTTGTATTATCTAGCCAATTCAGGCACACTGGTACGCAGAACGTCCTCTGCATTTACTTTTATTCTTGAGAATATATGTTTGTCATACACTATCTCGCACGGCGGCTAATATACCAACAGTGTTGGGATTTAGAAACACAGCGACAACTTGGTAGATCGGCTAGATCAGTATGTTTTACAATTCCTCTTGTGCTCCAGACTTTAGTGTCCGTTTAAATGGTTGATTTCTGTCCCGAACTAAGGCGGATTTCCAAGATGGGTCTGATTACAATGAGTTCCGAATAATTCCACATAAAATCATCTTCTCCCCAACACAATATGATTACCTAATAGATACCTGCACAAGTGAGGTCATTGTTGGTTGTGGTCTTAAGTACAGAATACATAGCTATCCTCAACTTGGTGATCGCCTCTCGGACAGTAGTGAGTATGTGAGTATCACTTTTCCTCGTTTGGTGGTTCCTTTCGTCCTGAGAGTGCGAATTACATAACACCGAGCATTCTTCTTGTTGTGCAAACTGCCCGATGTTCTCTTATATGCCCGCTTATCGGAAGTCCCGTTTGCCTCATGAGTTGCAAACCGCACGGGAAAAGAGAGAGTAAGAACGAGAGGCAATGTGGTCCTTTTCGGCCCAAAACATTAAATGGGATACTCGGAAGGGCACCGCAAGACGTCGTAGAACACGACAATAGCACAGGGAAGCAAGAAGAAAAGTCTTCCGAAAGCAATCTATAGACGTAACTAATAATGTCAATTTATATATTTTATATAGAAAATCAGTCGTAGCCCGCGTGATCTACGTCCCACTATTGCTAATCACACGTCGACTCGGTTTGCCTCTCTAACCACTTCTGAAGTAGTTTCTCCGGTAATCTCGTTGTGTGCTTGTTTGCTAACATTCCCAAAAACCTCAACAATTTCCTCTAGCGTCCTGCCGGTCGTCTCGGGTACCAAGAAAAAGGCCCACGTTCCTGCAAGAGCACAGCATGCCGCAAAGAAAACGTATGTGCCATAACCAATATTAGCCATCATTGCCGGAGTCACGATTCCAACAATGAAATTGGACAGCCAATTGACACAAGTTGATAACGCGACCCCTTTAGAACGGAGTGCATTTGGGAAGACCTCCGAGGGCAGGGCCCAGCCAAGAGGTGAGTATGTATTCCCGTAGACAAGAATGTACAGGAAGGCCATCGCCACACAGGCCCAACCAGCCGATGGGTTAGCCCAATTGGGCCCATATAGAGCCATTAGCACAGCAATGACGACATAGCAGGCTCCCATAAGGAAACCTCCTAGTATAGCCAGGGGTCGCCGACCAACTTTGTCGATGGTGAAGAAACAGACTAGGACGGTGAGAAGCTGAAGGGAATTGAATACACCCGACAAAATCAAGGACATCTCGCCCTCCTGGCCGATTGAAGTGAAGATATATGAAGGCATTTACACCTGAAAATTGTTGGAAAAATCCTACACCCACGCCGACTGCTGTCCTCTTCCAGGTCTGCGGCTTGAATAGGTCCATCCATATCAGGGCCTCTCGCTTGATGCCAGTCACTCACGGGCGTTGTTGCTTTTCCATGAGTTTCTGGGCTCTAACCTCACTGATTATTGCGTTGAACTCGGCCTGGACGTTCTGATCGCTCAATGGAAGGCCGCGCAGCCGACTCAGACTCTTGAGACAATCCTCCGGCCGATCAACGAGCGCCAGCCACCGTGGTGAGTATGGGAAGAAATGGATACCGATTCCAACAAGAGTTGCGCTGACCATCTGCAAGCCAAAGGGCACACGGAATGAAGCTTCACTGTTTACTAATCTCATGCCGAACTTTATCCAATATGCTATGACTGACCCGGACACGAGGCAAATGGATTCGAGCACTAATAGAGTTCCTCGCAGGTTTGGTGGTGAAATTTCTGAGATGTAAAGTGGTGCGCCCTGGTATTGCCAGATATATTAGCAAGCTGTCTTGCATGGGACGGGAGATTCATCTCTACCATAGCCAGTGTACCAACCCCGATACCACCAATTGCTCTTCCAGCAACCAGCATGCCGTAACTTTGGGCCGAGGTCTGGATAATGGCCCCGATGTCAAAAATGATAACGACCACCGTCAGGGCCCACTTCCTGGAGACCTTGTCGGCAAGATAAGGCATGAAGATACAACCGACAAATGCCCCAAGGAGCAGCATGCCTGTCATGAACCCTTTACCAAATTCACTCTCCGCCTGCGGGATAGCCGCATGAAATTGTGGCATGACATTGATGACTGAAGTAACTCCCTGGTCATACCCAAAGCTGAAACCCCCAAGAGAAGCAAGGCAGGCGGCTCCAAGAACATACCCCGAGCTGAAAAGCCCTCTGACGCCATCCGGTCCATATGAAGGCATCATATCCAGCGCTTCAACACCAAGGGTGCCCCTCTCATCATGCTCCACCGTAGTATCATCCTCTTTCGACTTTTGATGCATTGAAAAACTTGAGCGAGTTATAGCTCTTGACCGTCTCTCCATGTATTTACCTGACTGGGGAGGCAGGACTGAGCACTTAAGTAGCCCGTGGGGCAGGGGATATCTGACTGGAGTTACCCCGGCCGGCTCTAAACACACATCCCCAGACGGCAAAAAGGTATAAGCGCACCAATCAGATCTACTATAGTGATGTACAGGGATTACGAAAATGACAGGCGCATCGGACATCTCTCTTGACCTGACCTCCGGCTACTTACCATGATTATTAGTCCCGTGTCGTGTCGGTCAGTCATTGGGCGAATAACGCACTTACTCGTCTCTCCATAAGCCGGGCGGCCGGAGACGTGTGGACTATAGGCATCCTGTCTACAATGAACTGCCTTGATGAGTTCTGCTAGATGGCTGAAAATACGATGATTTCCAGAGCCACATTTTTTCAGTCACCAAAGACACCGCTTGGGGTGTAGTGAGGAAAAGAGGCTTTTCGAAAATGGGCCATGTCAATAGCTTGTGTATCATATATCTAGAGCTCTCAGATTGGTCGTGGTCAACTATTTTATTGAATCAAATATCTGTTCGCCCCAGACCTTCTTGGTGCGACACCCCGGCTATATTCACGACCGAACAGCAACCAGGCTTATCAACCCGGGTACCAAATGACAGGTGGAATGAATCAGTAATGCACCACACGTTGGGCCTCTCATAAGACTAGTTCCAACAAAAACTTTTTTTGCTCGGCATTATAACTAACAGTCGCTCTTATAGTACATACGTCACGATATGCGAATTTAGGAATACGTAACCGTTGTGACCATTCTACGACTTTTGCGGGGTCCCCACACGTCTCGAGGGCAGTATTGTTTCTGAGGGAGGCTGCCTGTGCAAGCCGGGATGCTCCGAGGTACCCCATCAAAGTCTTTGTTTCGACCAGAAGAGAGGAAAGTTGAGCATCCTTGCTAATTATGCAGCCCCCTTCAATGCTTCCTGGGTCGAGCTGTCGTCATCGCAATGGGGCGTGGATCAACTTGTCGGCCTATCCGAGGGGGACGAGTCGGGTCTTTTGTATACCTTCAAGATAGATCACCTGAAAAAGGATTGCACAATTACCAGCCAGTTGCCAACTCTGGGAGCGCCTGGTCACTGTAGGTAGATACATCACTCGGTTTACCATACGGTTCTTATTAGTGATAATTTGGTCTAAATAGTCATCAAGTTGCGTGATAATACTGCACTAGCTCTTGGCACTGTTCGTCGACATCAGGTCCTCGTTTCGACACATCTACTAAAATTTCACTCCATGTAGTATCTGGGAGGATCTGTTGCCCTCTATCCCATTTCCAGAACAGGCAATGGCAAGATACTGCTTCAAAATGTTCCGCGAGCGGAGATTCTACCGGAATTCCCCTACCAGTCGATTGGACACGGTCCTAACGAGGCCCGTCAGCAACAATGCCATGTGCATCAAATATTGGAAGACAGCCGAGGCATACTATACGCCCCGGATCTGGGATCCGATAGGGTTTGGATACTTCGGCGCGACGGCGTTCAGCATCTTGAAGTCTGTGGCTGGCTACAGTGCCCTCCCGGAACAGGCGCTCGACATGCCGTATTGACTCCCAATGGTATGTACTCTTAGCCTCAACACGGAGATCCCATGTTCCGGAGCTAACTAACCTTAATTGCTAGAGACGATAATGTACGTTATTGGAGAGCTCTCGCACACTGTCATCGCCTTCGATGTATCAGCTGCCCCTGCAGAGGGCATACCCCCAATTGATGGCTTCGCACCGAGTATAATCCCTCCGGGGGTTCACCCTGATCATCAAGACATGATGGACTCTGCCGAAATCAATCTTCATCCCTCCATCCCTAACGTTATCTATGCCAGCAATCGCTGGGAGAGGCACATCGCGCAGCGTGAACCATGCCTCCGCAGTGTGCCTCGCGATCTACCGCCGGGAGATGCGATCGCTATTATCCTGCTCTCCGAGGACGGCAGGAAGGTCAACGACATCAAGCACGTACGAACAGGCGTTGATGTCATCCGTGGCATGCGGCTCAGTGACGACGGCAGGTATGTCGTTGTAGTCGGACAAGAAGGGGGTGGCGTGGAGCTCTATGGAATCAACGGGGAAAGGGGAGACAAGTGGACTTTGATGGCCGCCCTGAAGGAGGGGCTAGAAAACGGGATAAAGCATGCCATTTGGTTATAAGAGGGTATACATAGACCGTCGGGAGTCCATGGACACGTTTACTTGACATTGAGTTGAATGTTTCATGTTGCCTTTGTAGAATGGAAGGAAGAGCACTAGATGGTTCTAACCCCCCCCCCCAGCAGTGACCTCCCCAGAAGAGATATATGTGAGTATAGCATTCAAAATTTCCTTCTTTAACTAACCTTAGGAGGTAGGGAGGGGCTATACATGCCTTGAGTGGAGTGTTGTCATATGTCAATGTTAGGCTTTAAGTTGCTAAAATGTTGGATCGAAACCCTCTGCAACCTATTGTTTCATGTACATCAAGCTTTTTCAAGGCTATAAGTCTGATGAGTGGAGAAGAGCTAATATTCGAAAGGTAATTACGGTTGGGAATTCCAAAATAGACAAGAAAACATCCAAGCACATTCCTCACAATCAAATTAACAATCAAATTAACATAATCTACTGGATGATCTTCATATTCTGGAGACATCTCTAAAGCTAGCCGTTTCTCATGTTCAACGTCATACCAACGTTTCAAACAGATTGGCTGCCTTTGGTAATACCCGAGCATACAAGAGACAGCACATGGCGCTGCACCTGCTCCGCTGATCCTTCAACATTGATGGTAGTGACACCCCACTCGCTCTTCTGTGGCTCCTCCAGGGCTTGCAGCTGGGAACGCACCATATTGCTCTTCAAGTAGTGGCCCTCTCGCAGATTCACACGTTGCATAAGTGTCACCTCACTTACCTTAAGGTAAATAAAGTGGATTTTGATCTGCGACGAGCCGTACACAGCGATGCGCATGACCTCGCGGTACTTCTCTTTCAAGGCGGAACAGGAAACGATCAACGATTTTAGGGGATGAAAGTTGTTGCGTTGGCTAGGGGACAGGGCCTGAAGGGTGGCCTCGCGCAGAGCAATAAGCCAGTCCCAGCGATCTTCATCCGCAAGAGGTACTCCGTTCCTCATTTTATCTTTGTTGGATGCAGGATGGTACTAATGTGTGTCAAAAGTCAGCTTATTTGCCTATCCTGATTCAAAGTCCATCCCTCATGGACAGTTTCCAACCTACGTCATCTCCTTCGAGGAACGGTACACCCAGCGAGTGTCGCAAATATTCACATATTGTTGTCTTCCCACACCCGGCAGGACCAGTAACAACCCAAATATGTTGCAACTGTGTATGGCTAGGGGAGTGTTCCTCCGGGAGCTCGCATGGGATCAAGGACGACTGGGCGTTCAGTGCGAGCGGCATGATTGGCACTCAATCGCATAGTTCAGATGTGTCAGTGACCCTTTCTTCGGTGTTGGTCCATAGTATTGTATTTGACAAACAGTGAGTATAGACTTCCGGATGTCCTATCGGGTTTATTTTTCGCTTTTCGCCGCTTAGCGACCGGGGATTATCCTAGCGGAATAGTGAGCCGGGCAAACTCCCCTTCAACCGAGGTCAAGATAATATGTCCGATGACGGGGTCCCACCAACACCAATTATCCCCGGTGCGTCACAACTCCGATCCTATGGCCTAAAGTAAATCTCCTGTCATTCTCATATACATCCCCGTTCCAGTTTGTTATGTCCGTTAGGCTGAAAACCATTTTTATTGGCCTCCCCTGCTGGATAACTGCTTGTACCATTGTACGTCTTCAGAGAACAACAGCAACATGGCTCCTCCCACTCACTTCAAGCTCAATACGGGCGCCCTCATTCCCGCTGTCGGCCTCTGTGAGTGGCATTGATTCTGATTACGTTGCTGCGCCCTCAATAACATAGATGATATGCCCAGGAACCTGGAAATCCGAGCCAGGAGAGGTCGCAAAGGCAGTGGCCTTCGCCCTCAAAAATGGATACCGGCACATTGATGCGGCATTGTGAGTGAGCCCTGCTGTCCCTCTCATCATCGAGTGCTGGCTAACGAACAGAAGAATCTACGGTGAGCTCTTCTATCTCGGTGGGCTGTCTTCCCAAGCCACAGTTATAATAACGCATAAGTCAGGTAACGAAACCGAGGTCGGCCAGGGAATTAAGGATAGCGGCGTGCCCCGCAAGGACATATTCATCACTAGTAAGCTTTGGAACACACATCACCCAAATGTCAAGGAGGGTCTACAGAAGACCCTAGATAGCCTGGGCACCGACTATCTTGATCTTTACGTAAGTGCACTGTCATTTTGTATGCGGCCTAGCATCTGGTCTGACGAAGTATTCCATCAGCTTATTCATTGGCCCGTTCGGCTGGTTCCAGTGAGCAGTTCACATTCCCAGCATTCCGCCCCAGAGCCATGCGCGACTAATATTCTCCATGCAGAATGAGACGAGCGAGCTTCTGCCGGTAAACCCGGATGTCACCCGCTCGGTGGACCGATCGTGGGATCAGAATGAGACCTGGCGCCAGATGGAGGAGGTTTACAAAGCTAGTATGGTCAAGGCGATTGGGCTCGCCAACTGGTCCATTCCCTATTTGGAGGAGCTCCGCAAGACATGGACCGTTGTGCCGGCTGTAAACCAAGTTGAGCTGCATCCGTTCCTCCCTCAACATGAACTCCGAGAGTATTGCGACAAGCTTGGTATACTCCTCGAAGCATATTCCCCTCTAGGTTCTACCGGTGAGTAATTCATCTAGCTATTATTCTTGTGTCCCGCAAAAGCCATGTACAAATTACTAAGATGTCTTTTGCTAGGGGATCCTATCATGTTAGATCCTGAGATCCAACAGATTGCGGACAAGAATGGGGTCTCCGCCGCCACGATCCTCATCAGCTACCACGTCAACAAAGGCGTGGTTGTTCTTCCGAAATCGGTCAGTGAGAAGCGCATTGCTAGTAACAGAAAGGTTATTTCACTATCTAAAGAGGATCTGTATGTGCTGGACGGAATGGCGGCTGCGGGCAAGGCGAAACGCTTGAATACGCCGCTGTGGGGATTTGATCTGGGCTTCGCGGACTGGTACGGTCCGGTGAAGTCGCAGTAAAGCTCATATAGCTCTGTGTGATTATAGAAGGTTTCAATCCATGAAAACTAGGAAGTGAATGCTGAGTAGACTCTGTCACGAATTCTATGAAGCTAGTATTCTTTTCCAATGAAGACCGCCATTCATGAGTAATGCTATACTACATTTCCTAAACTCAGCATTGAAAGTGCCACTATGGGCTGGGCCGACCCGAGTCTAGCCTAATGACGGACCCTTGGCCTACACTATCCATAAATCTTGTTTTCTCCGATTGTTTCCCTGTTACACGTGAACCTTTGGTTTGTCCTTCTGGCCAGATGTTTCACAAAGGCCTCCAGGTTATAATGTGAATTTACTATTTCACCTTGGAATACATGCAACAGATGAAACATTTATCAGGATTTATTATGGTTCCGTAAAATAAATTCTTTGGAATGTTGTTATCAGAAAAGGTGGATATGTTGAATTCGGGTACTTAGGCTAAACAGGCCACGAGACGTACATCTTCCCTTCCCTTGGTTAATTAAATTATACCCACGCAATAATCTTCAAAGCAAATAACCATACAGGCGCATTCAGGAAGCCATGTTTATTGTAGTTGTATTGTTTATGAGGTCCTTGGGTGGAGAGAAGCTAAGGTCTAGTCCTTGTATGGAGCCGGAGATATACCTTCCATCAAAGCCTTTATGCGCATAGCAAGCAATTTGGAATGGAAACGGGTGTAGGGGAGATAGCCGACCATGAGCCAGAGGTTGGGCACCCCAGTCTCCCGGTACGCAGTTTTGAACTCGCCCTCCTCATCAATACCCCAGATGGGACCGCACTGGTCGGCGATCTTGTCACCTAGCGTGGCACGGATCGAGTCAATGGTGTTGGAGAAGCCAGTTGCGAAGACAATCAGGTCGAATTGGCGCTCACGCCCATCGTTGAGGATTACCCTGTCCTCCGTGAACCGCTCAATGTATCCTGGCTCCACCTTGATCTTGCCATTGATGATGTGCTCACACGCACCGGCATCGAAGTAGAAGCCACCGTTGCGGGTCTGGCCGAGGGTGGAACCGCCCGTGCTGCGCTGACCACGCCAGGTCCGGAGACTACGAGCATGGAGTGCATCCAGAAGAGGCCGGTCAAGGTCTTCCAACACCTTAGCATTACGCCTGGCGAGTTCTTCTCCGGGTCCAGTAGGGGTGGCAAAGAAAAGACGGTCTTGTTCCTCATGGCTAGGCCGGTTGCCTTCGGCGTCAGGACCATAGTTACCGATTGTGCGCGGGACGGAATAGGTCAGAGACATGATGTAGGTTGGGGACCGCTGAAGAAGCGTAACATCGATGCCCCGGCGCGAACAATCAAAGGCCGTATCGAAGCCAGAGGATGAGGTACCAACGACACAGACCTTCTTACCCACAAACTCACGCGCACTGTCGTGGGCCGTTGAGTGGCGGATAACACCACCCTTGAAATCGGCCATCCCGGGAATATCCGGGGTCATGGGAACGCCGCAAAGGGAGGTAGCCATGATGACCTGCTTGGGGTGCAGTTGTCTGGTTTCGTGGCCTTCTTTGTTAATCACGACCGTCCATTTATGCTGGTCGTCTTGCTCTGCCTTCACGACCTCCGATTTGGTCCAAACATTTAACTCCAATGCCTCCGCATACCACTTCATGTACATTCCTTGCTTCTGAGCGGGTGTGTACGTGGGCCAAAGCTTGGAGTATGGAAAGTAAGGCAAATCATCAGCCCAGTGGGGGAAGTGAAGCGATAGGTACTCATAACGCTTTTTCCAGACATCGCCAACCTCTTCGCTGCGCTCAATGATGAGGCTATCCATACCAAGTGCCTTACATCTGGCAGCTAGCGCGAGACCACTATTTAAGAGAAAAAAGAGTCAGTCTTTGTGAAACGGGACATGGAAGAAACAGACTAACTTCTGGCCTCCACCAATGATCAGGATCTCGGGGTTGGCAGCGTCGATTTCCGCAGCTCTTTGTTTCTCCCAGCTGACGGGGCCCGTCATATGCCCGTCGGAAGGAGGAACTTCGGGAAATTGTTTCAGCTTCTCTGCAACCGTGTGCATTGTGTAAATCTTCCACCCCTCCTGAGTGAAGACCGCATTGATAACGGCTGAAGAAAGCACGACTCCAGTCTCAAAGGAAACGACGAATTGCAGCTGAGCAAAGTCCGGATAGGGCCGGGAAATAGTCGGAGCCGGGGTGAGGAATTTGAAGTTTGTGGCTTTCGTTTTAGGGAAAAGGTCTGTGGCAGCCTTGAAGATTGCCGGGTGAAAGTTGAAAGTGCGGTAATCCCAGGTGAAGGACAACTTGTCCCGCCTGCCGCCAAGAGAGGAGGCGGAGACATTGGTTGCGTCGTACTATCGCTACTGTGCTTGGCAGTGAGTGTCGGAGACCCAGTACGAAAGATGGCCCTGACAAAGGTTTAGTCATGATGTGGCTCCCAGAGCCACTTTCGATAAGACATTTGACCGAGTCTACGCAAATTCAAGTGGAATTTCTTTATCCCCACAAGTCAATCCACAGTAGATTGCACTCGTTTTTATCATCCTGGCTCAAGGCACCATGTTCAATATTGAGATGCCCAACTACGATCCATCTACCGAAGACTGGCTACACCTCTCGGAGCTGGCTCTGGTCAAAGGACGCTTCCTCTCAAATAACATGGTAGCCGGTCTCCAGACCTTAGTAAGTCTTCAGTTAATTGCGCCCGATCAGCTACTAATATTTGTTAGCATTTGATGGCGCATCTGCATTTGTATAGGAACCCCTTCGTTGCGTGATTTCTTCAGGCTAACAGTTGGGGTAGACAACTGGATAAAGGCGGAACAGGTGACAATTCCTGGCCTCTGTGGGGACTGGTCATGCGATTAGTCCAAGCGGTAAGCATGGCTCCTTGAAGTGACGACAGGATCTAATGGGTCCATCTGTAGATGGGTATGCACCGGGACGGTGCCCGCTGGAACCTCTCTCAAGATGTGATCGAGGAAAGACGCAAGGTCTTCTGGGAGCTGAATGCTGCCGATACCTTTCAGGCTCATTGCTTTTCGAGGCCGTATGGATATCGCCTGTAGGCTTATTGCAGTTCTGATGTCGGTCAGGTGCGCGATTAATCCTGAGCATTGCGACGTCGAATTCCCTGCCGAGCCGCTCCATGTAAGACAGGAGAAGAGCTATTCGAGACTACGTTTCGAGCTATCTCAGCATTCTTCCGAGTGTGTACTTCATTGTTACCCAATCCTGCTCTGTTTGTTATTGCTTCGGGGCTAATGAGGCTGAAGAATTCTCCATATGGCCATGAAAGTACGGAAACCACCGTACTCTGCTGTCACCGATCTAGATATTAGGCTGTATGTCCTCCTGTTCGACAATTGCAATATATTCGCATGCTAACCCTACCGAGGGCGGACTTTGAGCGCAACCTTCCCTTCTCCCTTCGTTGTCGAGCAGCGTTCCTGTCCATGCCCTCTCGGTATCCCCACGTCCAGGCGGCAATCGAAGCATCACCAGAACCATCCCGGAGGTCAATGACCATATCCTTCCAAGTTTGTCTGCCCATCCCGTCCATTTGTGCGTCTGCTGATCGAACCAGCAAAGTAATCTTGCACTTAACATATCGGAGACGATAATCAATCTACATCGGCCTTATTATGCCAAGGCGCTCTACGACATCAACGAACGTACAAAATCCATATATGCGCCCTCATTTCTCACAGTGATCGAGCGTTGCGGGGTAAGGCCATCCTTTAGGCTGTTCAATTCTGATCTTTGCTTAACATTGGTAGATCATCATTGCTATTGTTGACGACATTCATACCCGCTTTCCCGCGGTTAGCACCAGACAATGGAATTTCTGGGTAGGAGAATCCATTTCCTTTGTCAATGAGAGACCATAATATCTGATGGTGTATGGCACAATAGTATCACGTGTTTGGTTGCGCTCTCTGCTTAGGGACGTTGGTGTTGCGCGATCCCAAGAATTCAATGGCTACTTTTGCTCTTACGCAGGTTGATGCCGCGATCAATCTATTCACTTCTTTGGTTCAGCACGGCGCCAACACTCCGAGATACTGCCGTAATTTGCAGTGGCTTTCGAAACTGCGCGCTCGGGCATCGTCCAAAATTGCCACAGCGTCTACCGCCGCCCAACAGGCCGACTCGCAGCGAGACCAGGGCGATCCGGACAGGCAGGAAATTAGTCGAGAAGACAGTGAGGATAGTGAGGATGTCGAGCTGCTCGGTTGGCGGACCAGGTTGATTGAACGGGCTGGTCAAGGTCGTCCGACTATCCGCACTATTCAGCTTGCTGAGACGCCGACCGATTCTCATGAGAGCTTTGATGTCTCAAACGCATCGCCGCATGGGCATATTCACAGAGCCCCTCAACGTGAGCTGGGAATTGGAGATAATATCATGATCCCAGGCTCATCCCTTCCTATGGTGACCCCCGACTCGACAAACGAACTTGTGAGCATCATTATCCTAGCGTACGCCCATTGTTCGAACTGACACATACCACACAGTTACAAGACTTTTGGGATCCAATGCTGCTGCAGGATATATTGGGAGGTTTCCAGTGGAGTAGGCAGTCATGATGATGACTTCGGAGCCGAGTCTCTCTAACTTTCCTCCGTCGGGAGGCCGGACCACTACAACCATTTGGCATGCTCTAGTAGTGGAGTCAAATTTCGTTCCAAACAAATATGTTCTTAACAAGTGTGGTACGATGCTCGTATTGTCTTGACTTACCATGATAGACAAAAGCTGTCCTTTAGGCAGAATCATATTTCAAAGCTTCAGAAATCACAGCCCAAGGCCTTTGACCATCCTGATGCCGTCACTCACGGTTCTGCTACACACCTATAGGTTTGTTCATAAGACCAGAAGCTTATGCACCCCTTCAACTTTAAGTCCATCTTAAAATTTGCGGGGATGTTAGGTCTACCCTAACTTTAAAATGCGAAATGTCCCGTCTACAAAGGCCTCGTGGTAACCTTTGAAAGGCTGCCGATGCAAGGAAGAACGCATATGTATCACACCTACAGTTCTGTCTATGGGCTTTGATGGCCAGCAGAAGTAAGACTTGCACAAACATGACCAAGGAGTCTATTAGTCTATTTTACCGACTGGAGTTATATGTAAAACGCTAGGCCTTGTCCTTCGCAACTTCCATGATAGGCAGACCATTGTCGTCAAAGTATACTGGTACGCCATTGCGGAACGAGTACTGTAGAGCGGTGGCAATCTTAGCCGCCTCATAGGCATCCTCGGGGGCGCAAGTGAGAGGCTCGCCGTCAAGAACCGCGGCCGCAAACTCTTCCAAGTATTTGATGAACGATTTATCGTAGAGGACGAAAGCATCTGGGGTTGTAGCCGTACGCACACCATGCGAATCACGAATCTCAACACGATTGATAGTGGAGTTTGCATTGATGACCGAGTGGGCCTTAGTCCCGCACACGCGAGTCATCCCCTCGAAGCCGTTGGTGAGAGTGCGGCCCAAGTGGAAGGTGAGGATCTTGCCGTTGGCGAATTCTACCAGACCCCATCCGTTGTCGCAGTCGCCATACTTGGCAAGCTCGCCATACACAGCCTGTTGCCCCATGGCAATGACTCTGTTGACCTGTTTCTTGGGGTTGGTGAGGCCCGACTTGACATCCAGGTAGTATCTACCAATGTCGATCAGTGCGGTGTGAGCAACTGAGCCCTGCAGGGACTAAGTAATAATGGAAATATGACTGACATCGTGGACCCCCATATCAACAAAGATACCTCCAGACTGCTCGGAAAATTTCACAAAGAATCCTATGTAAGACGGTTAGAGCTGACTAGACTATCGGTAATCGTTTGAAAGAAAGCTCACCTGTAGGATCCTGCTGGTCAATGCAAGAGCTCTCGACCGCGTGGATATCACCGAGTGACCCATCCATGACCATCTGCTTCGCCTGACGATACGAATCATCATCTGTTCTGGATTAGTCGATAGGCCTTCACGTTTAGCACGGAAATTCAAAGGCTTGACTCACACCGTCGACAGAAGGGCACCAAGAACTTAAGATGAGGCTTGGAAGCGGCTTTGGCGACGACCTCCTCAGTAGTGAGGACATCTACCGAGATGGGCTTCTCACACATGACATGCTGATCGCAGGTTAGACATCAATTTCACATGAGTAAGCAGTTGCTTGTGAGCTCACCAGGCCTAAATCAAGTGCTTTGAGGACTAACGGGGCATGGGTAGCAGTGGCCGTCGAGATCAAGACAGCCTCCGCACCGCTATTCTTCATGCAGTCCTCCGGGTCATCAAAAACTTGACTGACGAAGGCAAATTTGTCGCTGCCCACTCATCTGCCCCGGGTTTTGTATCGCAGGCAGCGACAAGCTCAATGCGAGGTTGCTGGAAGGCCAGAATTCGGGCGCGAATGGCACCCAGACGGCCTAGGCCGATCAGAGCGATCTTCATGCGAGATTGGCCGGTCATGGTGAAAGAGATAAAAGTTTTTATTAATACTTGTAGAATATAAAGGCTCTGAGACAGCTTGCTTTTATATCATCTCTTTATTTATTATTATTTTCGGGCGCAATTCTATTTCAGACATGATTAAGGGGTCTTGGTTAGGGTCCGATGTATACATTCATGGTTCAGTCAATATCCGACGGCCGATGCTTCCGCCCGATCTGCTTAAATCCGACTCTTGTTACTTGACCCGATCAGACAAAATTTCTAGAGGGAAAACATTCAGTGAGCTACTCCAATGCTGCTCCTACCACTATCCAAGACATTTTACTTTTTAGCCTTGGGGATTGTTCCTCTTTCAGACAAGTTGGGAGATGATTTATTAGCCTCATAATTAATATCCTTATAACATGAACTATAAACTGCACATGAATAAGAATACAAAACTCTTTATTACCTTATATGTTTTCTAGACATTCTAGTACTGTTGATTGGTCTCTGTTAAAGTACCGTCTTGACCATGCGCTGTAAAATAAACCGTTTCATTTTATCCTCCAACACTACTATTAGGCATACATGGTGGATATGTATAATTATTGGACCAGGTCTACTACATAGCAATATCACCGGGTAGTAGTCCTATTCGATTTCATCTGATCAGTGTAATAGTACTGCCATACTCCGTTAGCATATTTATAGCGTAGATTTCATACGAAGGACCTTGTCGCGTTTGAGTCGCAAAAGCCTGAGGCATGTGAATCATGCCTTAAGGCAGGGATTCATGCCTGGCCTATTTAGGCCGAAGCGGTAAGGATTCTGCCGTTTCATCTGATTCCTCAATAGGTAGGCGGACTGCCTGTCCATGATGAACACTACTGACACTGCGACTCAGTATGAATACCTGATTGCGCTGTTCATAATTGATGAATGGGCCAAATGCCGTGTCCATGAGGACTGCCGTCTATTTCTGGGTCATGGGTGGTTGCATCAGGAACTCTATCCTGACCGCGGTGGCCAACGGCTTCGTTTCATCCCATCTGCGGCAGTCACAGAGTGCCCAGCAGATGCAGCCAGTATTCCACTCAATAGAGGCCCTTTGCCGTCTTCCAGCTTCAGTATGTAGCCTCGTTGTTTTGGTGGCAGAAGGATCAAATATCCTTCTGGGTACTTGGCAGTGATGATAGTGGGGTGCGATTGACAAGGTACTAGATTGTAAGGTGCACCAGTCAATGAGGGGGAGGCTGCGTTCTCTTTGTGTTTGTTCGTCGCACTACAAACAACCAGCTTGCCGATAATGGTATACGAACAGGGTTCATCACTGTTTAGTGCAGTGCGCCAGCAATAAGACCTAATTTCCCGAAATCCATTCCAAGGCCTCCCTTCCCCCTTCCTATTTTCCCCTTCCATCTCTTATCCTCGGGAGTAGTGCTGTGCTCCTCCTTTTGCTCCACCACCATAGTCTTCAGCCTTGGGGAAAACTTTGAGACTCCCCTCACTAGCAAACTTTCTAGCAATATTGACTCGCATCTTCGAGGCTACTACTACTGTACTTGCCCAGCATGGCAAGCATGAAACTCAATGGAGGGGTCGCCCTTGTGACTGGGGTGAGTTCCTCCCATCCCATCTTGCGCACATAATCCCCGTGTACCTTGAAGCATTCGAGACAGCAGCACAAGATAATTAATCCTAACTATGCTTTGACCTACTAGGCATCGTCCGGCATTGGCAAAGACGTTTGCTTTTCGCCCGCCGAAGCTGGCGTCGAGTCAATTGTGCTCGCCGATCTGAACCTCCCTGACGAGGCCATTCTGAAGGAGTGTCGAAAATTCTCCTCTCACCCTAGCTTTCGTGCCATTGCTGTCGTCGTCGATGTCGTCGATGAAGCCAGTGTTAACGATATGGTTCAACGCGTTGTTGCCGACTTTGGCCGAATTGACTACTGCGTCCATTCCGCGGGCTTTTCTACCAAGCGTTCACCCACCTCCGATCTAAACGTGGAGGCTTTTGACAAGGTAATGACAACCAACTCCCGCGGATCGATGATGGTGCTGCGGGCTGTCACCCACGCCATGGCACGCCAAGAGCCTCGTTCGTACACCAGCACACGCAGCAACACGACACGCAATCTGGGCCGCGGGTCAATCGTCGTCATCGCATCAATCAACGGCATGATATCAGCAGCTGGCATGATGCCATACACAGCGTCCAAGCACGCGACTATCGGGATCGCCAAGACCGCCGCTGTGGACAACTTTGAGAACCAGATTCGTGTAAACATTGTCTGTCCATCGTGGACGGATACGCCAATGATGCAGAGGGGCATTGAATATTTTCCTGCGCTGGGTCCGGCAATTCAGAAGCTGTGCCCACTCGGTAGGACCGCTATGGTGGAAGAGGTGTCCGATGCGGTTGTCTTTCTGTCTAGCCCCGCTGCTTCGTTTATTAATGGTGAATCCTTGGTGATTGACGCGGGTTTTACTCTGACGGGATTCCGGCTAGCTCACTAGATGCTATCATGTCGTTCAGTAGAGGTCATGTAAGCCAAGCACCACAAATTTGATGATGGGGGTGCTCTAGCTCTATCGAAATGTGATCCTTTCTTCCTATTTCTCCATCCTCTTTATATCAGATGAATAAGTGTTTCACTTGCAGATAGAATTCATAGCCTAGGAAAATACTACCAGTTTTTCCCTCTATTTTCTGGCCCTTGGAGCGTTACTTAGTCGTCTCGAATAGTATGCTCAGTATCCGTAAATCTCGCCGGTTCCCTGCGACTTCGGTCCACTCGCAAATCAAAAACATCCAACCGTTGATAACCACCCACAACATCGTGATATTGCTTCCCCTCAACGCAAAGCTTCAAATCCAAATCCGCGTACAATACTGCTTCTTCCATCTGCACAAACTCCCGTGCCTGTTGCTCCCGCGTCGACTCCATCACCGTAAATCCCTGAACCGGCGTTCCCGTGGGATCGAGGAACATGGTGACGCCACGCGGTGAGAGCTCCAAGGTCCGGCGAATCCGCGCGGCGTCACTGGCTCCAGCGACAATGGTATCAATGGCGGGTTTGTCAAGGAATCCACTACACATCACACCAAAGCACTTGGCCTCGAAGCAATGGGCAGCAGCGCGCAGACGGTTGGCCAGGACATTGTTGTAGTTCGACCCAGCGGTACTAGTAGCAGAAGCGTCCCCGGTACTACCCACCACCTCGGAAGGGGCATCCAACATTCGAGTAGGCCAGATACATGGCCATGAGGAGATATGAATCTGTTCCCGTTGTGTCATAAGAGTGTATCGTGCCAGCGGGTTCGTGTTCTCTCCGCAGATGAGCGCGCCGATATTGCCATACGCGGTATTAGCGACTCGCAGCCCGTGCCCGTCACCGGGACTCCAGGTCAACTTCTCAAAGAAGGTTGGCATCAGCTTGCGGTGATGCACGGCGATTGAGCCAGTGCTGTCGATGATGAGGTTCGAGTTGTAGAGACAGGCAGTACTGGTCAGGCTACGCTCCGAAATGCCGATGCTCACAACAGTATTGGTCTCCCGAGCGGCTGTCCGCAGCGCAGCAACCTCTTCGCCATCGATGGCAATCGAGTTCGCCACCATACGGGAGAACAGATCGTGATTATCCGTGGGTGGACGCAGCGCACTCCAGAGGGGAAAGGCCGCAATGTAGGATTCGGGGAAGACAACTACGTGGGCGGCATTGCGCGCCGCTTGATGGATGAGGGAGACGGCTTTGCTCGTGGTTTTAGACGCGGACAGGAAGTTAGGCGCGATGTGGCAGGCTGCTACTCTAGTGATGGCCATGATGAAGAAGAGTTTACTCTCTGTGACGACTTAGAGCACGGTGGTCTTTACATCCAGCAAATTGGCGCAGTTGAGAGTCATGGATGTTATCAGTGAAGGGGCTGGATGATAAGGCTACGGCGGGAAATCCGCCCGCCCCGCTTGTCACTCCACTTTCGGGTAATCCCAGGATCAGGCATCTTCGGTCAACCTTGCTTTTGACGGTTGTTTTGATCAGCACGGCTAGACATACCGAGAACATCGTCGAGCAATCAAAATTCAATTGGTAGTAATAGAGGGAGATTGACACCTTAGTCGCCATTACCTCGCGACATCTTGCCCATTATCTCAGCGAATACGCCGAGGTCTGGTCAGTGAGCCAGTACTAGCTTCAGATAGAGTCCAAGACCTACTCTGCCACCACATTACACTCGCATAATAAATTTACACGACTAAGTGGCTCAGTTGAGAACAGATAAACGGCAATCGAGTGTTTGACATTGACACACACACAACAGGATTTTCTTATATACAATGAAGACTGTAGAAGGTAAGGGGCCATCAAGAAGAACAAAAGGAGATGGAAGTGGAGATACCACCACCTAAAGAATCAGTCATATTCACGACCTTTCTCAGTCGCGCGTGTCCCCCATAGGAACAACAATAGTATTCCATGACATGAGCGGGCGCAAACATAGGCATGGCATCTTCCCACAAACTGTTCGACAACACGGTCTTGTTGCTACCATCGGCTTCCATGAGCACGATGACAGCGTATGGCTGCATAGAATCATCGTATAAGGGTGCCTCCTGCTGGAAGCCGAACATCGCGGTACTGTATAGTATACGTCCATCTTGGGTCCACACAGCATGGGCATCACTGGCGATAGAGGGAGTGAGCTTCGTAAGTTCACTGCCATCCGGGTTCATGGTGAAAATGTCATAGTTGTCGCCAATGTTACCCAAATTGGTGCGCCGTGTGAACAAGATCTTCTTGCCATCAGGGGAGAAAGCCGGGAGGTTATCCCACTCGGTTGTAAGTTGGGTCACCTGCCGAGAGGGTAGATCGACAATGGCCAATCCAGTGGTGCCAATGGTGGTACCATTTGAGGCCGTACCAGGCCAGGTCCGGAAAACGACCTGTGTGCCATCATGGTTGTAAGACGGGAATCCGTAGTTGGTGATGTTGTTGCCGGCGAGGAGGGTCACGCCCGTACCCTCCGGGGTAACACTAAAGATGAACCCCGGGCTACTTTGGCGACCCACGAAGTATGCACCGTAGCCGAACGTGATGTTGGTATCATTCGGTCCCCAGTTGCCCTGATAGGCACGGGCGTTTAAAGCCTTCCGCGATAGAAGGATTGATCATGCCCTTCTTGGTCTCGAAGAGGGTAACCTGATCAGTGCCGTTCATTTGGAGACGCATAAGATTGCTATCTGCGACACCCTCCATCTGCTGTGACATGGCCATCATAGGGCAGCCTCCACGCTTGGCCATCGGGAAAACATCCGTGAAGCGGTAGTCCCAGTCCGGGTCAAAGTTCCACAGCGGGGAATACTGAGTCTTCGATGTCGACGTACTACCGCCCGTGGGACCTTGTTTTTCATAGATGATATATTTGCCATCTGGTGACCAGGCAGGAGAGCGTATAGCAGGTGTCATGGTATTCATGGGAATGGTCTGGTATTGCGTGTAGTTTTTACCCGAGATGGAGGTGTAGTAGATACCATTGCTGGCCGCCTCTTTCATGACGTAGCCAATAACCTGTCGGGTGCATTCAATGATCAGTATGAAATGCTACAGTGTGGCTGAATCGGGATACTTACATCGTCGGTGACGAATGAAGGACTGATCTTGGTCCCATCTCCAGTAGCATGAACAATGCGGTCACCACCAGTGACGAAATCAATCGAGACGATGCTGGTGTTGAGGTAAGATCCTTCGAGCAGCTCAGGCTGCAGACGACCATTGTATGTGTCCTCGGTCAACATCTCATAGAAGACCAGGCGCTTTCCATTTGGAGAGAATCTAGGCGATCCCTGGGTGTAGTTGCTCCGAGACGAGACGAGACGAAAGTCGGTACCATTGGGGCGGGCTGCGTAAATGGACAACTCCTGGGTATGCTCCCAACCAGAGCCGTCGCTGTGGCCCCGCCATGGGGTGTTGCGATCGGATGTGAAGACGATCCACTCTCCATCAGGGGACCATGTCGGCTTGAAGTATCCATTGGGTAGTGAAGAGTTGGCGGCCTCGGAGATACCGGGAGTGAGCGTGAGGTTCTTGAGCGATCCGGTCTCCAGGACCATGAGCATTATCTGGCTAGTCTGATTGTATCTCGAAGTTGCAAATGCCAGCATCTTGCCATCAGGGGAGATCGAAGCAGAGTCGTCGACACCGGGTGACAAAGCGACTTCTTCTATTTCTGCCCCCACGGTACTGGTGCCATTAATGGCGACACGGTAGATATCCGCCTGGCCGTTCCCTCTTCTCTCCGACGTGAAATAAACATACTTTGCGTCAGGGGACCAGCTGGCTCGGAAGTCGTACACGGTGTTGGAACCCAGGAGGAGCTTCTCATTGGAGCCGTCTGGCTCGGCAATATACAGCTCGGAATAATTGGGACTGATGCGGTTGTGGAGGAAGGTACCTACTTTTGTATCTGAGGTGGCTTTTCTCCTAGCCTGGTCTTTTGCATGCGATACACCAGAGACTAGGGTGGCAGAGGCTAATGCAAGCCAGGCCCATGCCTTCGAAACAAACATGGCTCTTTCCACTTCCCTAGTGGCAGGGGTGACAGGTATTGGTTGAATGGGTTGATATAAAGATAACAGAAAGCAAGTCACCGTTCACACACGAAAGCCTGCGATTGAACCAAGTTCTGAGACAAACTTGGGCCGTAGTCGAAAAGCAAGCAGGGCCAAGCTTCGTCTTAAATGTCAGAACTCAGAACTCAGAACTCAGGACTCTGAAGAGCGGGATGGGGTGGGGATGTACCCGCTGACAATTGGAAAGTACCAGAGCCATCTTCGCTTAGATGGGCAGAATTATCTCAGCACAGGAGTATGGCCCTCAGGGCTTAATTTAGTGTCTTCTAGTGTGGAGGGTCAAAAAATGCAGGTGCCACGCAGAGAAGTTTCCGGGATCTCCACCTTTCGGACCTTGAACCCTGAAATGGATACCCGTCGGCGATCACTTGTTGCACCTCGTATAGCGAATTGTCCCTCGGACCTGCCCACCCGAAGCGATCCGCGCCCTCCCAATCAGGTACACGTAAAGGCTGACGGATTTGATGTTGCAACATTGCGTAGTTGCACTCCATCTCAAAAGACCGGTGGAGAAAATACAATACGATACGCCACTCCTAGCAATCTCGGGCCTCGTCCGGGCCGCTCTATACCCCTCTGATGCTTGTTTTGTCAAACGACACGGGCAATCTTCTTCGTCCAGATTTGCTCCCGCATGTATTGCATGAGAGCTCAGCCGTAGTGTTTCAGCCCTTCATGGAAAATGAATGGATCATTCCCAGCAAGTCGAAGCAGGACGTTTTGTAATTGGGATCAGAGGTCCACCCACTCGTTCTCCCACATCCCGCATGAGGACTGGAAGGGGGGGGGGAGTGCCTTTTTTCGTGCTTGGAAATTGCGGCATTGGCTGTAACTATTATCGTTCTTCGAACTGAAAGAGGCAGCTGCGCAATCCTTTTACCTCCGACATCACAGGGCCGAGCGGAGCCTCGAGCCCTCTGTATAGGGAACCGCCGTCATTCCTATTGGATCCTTCAGACTTCACATAAGGGAGTATACGCAATATTTCTGACTGGTCTGAATGCCTCTACTGCCCAATGGTGTGTCCCAAAGAAGTCAGATTACGACCCAAACAGCACGCAGCCGGCGGTTTCAGCTAAGTCAAGCGTTCTTCTTGTCTCTGATATCAGAATGCTAACAGAGGGTTGATGACTACGGCCGCAGCCGACAAGCAAGACAGTTTATACTTCTTATAATTTTATTGTTTGAAGGGTGGCCATTGATGTATTCATCATCTAGACCTGGATTGAAAAGCTCCTTATTTACAGATAGGCAATTGTGAAAAGGCCTCTCCAACAGCAACCCCTTCCCAAACCCGTCATTAAAGTCAACACCCAGTTGGAACGTAAAGGAAAGTACATGGGCTTCGAGCAGAATGAAAGCAATGATGGACGCATACGGCTGGATAAAGCCGTCTCTTCAACCGACTCCCAAAGGGAACAACTCTAGCTGATAACGGTGATATTGCTCGACAGAGCAGTGCAGTTGATCGGAAGATCAATTGGCGGAGCTGTTCCCCCGTTGCTGAAAGCCAGACTGCTGTAGTTGTAGGTCGGGCTTAGCATCATGATTTGGCCAACAGTCGTCCCATACTTGTCGGCAAGATCCTTATACACACCCCATTCAAACGAGTAAGGCTGGATGATACATTGACTCGGCGAGCACTCGGGGACCTTGATAGATTGGCCAACCCGCAATGTTTCATTAGCGGACTGACCACCCGAGAGTATTTCTGTAGTTATGTTGAGACGGAGGGCATTTTTTTCAAATGTGTCCCCTTTGACGGAGTAGTACAAACGTGGTCCACCGTAGATGCAAGACCGGGTACGGCCCACATCTTTGATCAGGCAAGATTCATTGTCTGGAGTGAAGGTTTCGCCAGGGATGATGAAGACTTCGCCAATATTAGGTGGAATGGTCACATCTGCCATAAGGTTGTGTCGGCCAATGTCACAGACACCGCGGTTGGTCTTGCGGGCAACCTCGAACACCGTTGTCTCTTCGGTAATATCGTAGAGGTAACTTGTGGTATTCAGGGTACTCGGATCGCAGGACGCCGAGGCAACGGCAATTGTGCCCAAAGATAGAAACATAGAAACAGCGGATCCAAAGCCCTTCATTGTGACGGTGAATAGTCTTTACTTGTAATGGAAAGAAATTGAGATGAAATGAGTGACTATGAAAGGAGAAGAATGAAACAGATGATGTACTGGAAGTACAGGAGGCCCTTTTATAGCTAACAAAAATCATATCCTAGTAATGATTGATCTTCCATGAAGAAGTGGCTCCGGGAGTACGATGAGGAAGTTACGATCGGTGATCATGAGCCGCTCATGCCGGAGCAGTGTGGTCAAGGTGGACATGAATCTCGATTGCACCTTCGCAGTCCAGGCCACCGACATTCATTTCTGCAACACGCCTGAGTACGTGTATAACGATCACTAGGTACTTAGGGTATCCCTTTCTCCCCCGACGGCACATCACGGAGTTCCGGTGCAATCCACTCCCTATGGCCTCGTCAGCTGCGATATGATAGACGCGTTAGCCACGCCATGTAGTCCGCGATATCGGGAATTTTGTTAAGGCCTCCTAAAGACACTAAGAGCACCAGTGCGTCTTGTAAAGTGCATCATCGCCATATCCACCGCCCTCATTGGAGGAATCTAGATGCTCTAAACAGGGAGCGATGTACGGACATACCCCAGTTTGACCCATAGACTGGTGGGTCGGACGGAAAATCTGCCGCGGGTAAGAATGGGTACTTTAGAAGAAACGCACACCTTGCATGCGTAACATTCCCTTTAAATTGGGATCTAATGGTCGGAAGTCGGATGTGGCACAAAGCTGGATCCATGCAGCTAAAACTAGGATCAAGTTTATGCATTTCTGCCAGGCTGAGCGATAGGATATTGCCCCTGAACAGACGTCTTGAATAGACGTAGATGTGCTACTCACATCGGACATGGAGGGTCAGGACTGGGGACACCGGTATTACAATGGAACTCGGTAGGCTAAATCTTCATCATCTCTATTTATCTATACTACTGATCTTTTAGACCAAAAATCAGTGATCCTCGAGACCGGAACAGAGGGTTTCTAATCAGGCAATGATCCTCAAGCGAGTGGGTCCAGGGCAGCAGCAATATGGAGAGCCTGTTATCTCCGAGGATCTTGAGTATCTTCGGTCTCCTCATGCCCCAATTATGCACTGACAAAACGGCTAGCGTCTGTCGGCACTCCAATAGGGCTCTTAGGTTTTCGATTCAGTAAGTTAGGCAGAATTTGCGATGTATCCATGTCTATGATCTGCGATCACTGCGGAAGACAATTGGGAAAACTGTAGCCTAGGAGCATACGTATTCAGCTAGGAAGGTGCGCACAGGAAGAAAACAAAACCCAAAACCTTGGAATGGACGCCGTGGGGTTTCGCAAAGTGACCCCAGATTGGGTTATAGCGGCTAGGTGGGCGGTGTTGGAGTTGTTTTTGGCACGCTTCATCTTATCGGCGGAGCCCAGACCCACGCCGCCGATCTTGATTAGAGCAGGGTCATATTGGCTCAGCGCAGACCACAGAAGGAGCTGAACTGATGCCGTTACAAGGGCTTTCCCATCCAAGGTCGGGGATATGGATGATGAACGGCCAATGATCTGTGTTGGATTTGGAGGCGATTGCGTTTTCTGATGGATAATTTGATGTATCTCCCGTCTCGGGACCATTAACTAGTTGTTCGCGGGAGGGCTCCAGTGGGTTGTACGGCTAGTATTGGTTTAGAAAAAGTAGTCTCCTTGTTCTCTCTTTCTCTTTAAAGGCCTACCTTGCGAGTTCAGTGACATAGCAGACGATATACCGCGGCTGCTCTAGCAAAGTCCACAGAGTCTACTCCCCAACAAGGGGATCCTTAGGGACAGCAGACCTGTAGTTCAACCGAGCAACATAGTTGAGGCGGGTCTATGCAATCCAAGTATCATCTTTCCATCACTATTTCCGAGGTACCAGTGTCCCACGGCTATTCGTTATTTGACCATATTTTGAGCAGCCATGCACGAGCATAACCCTCACTTTAATAACTGATATGGAATATTGCCTCATTAGCGAACACATTATGATTCCTTGACCTTGCTTACGTTTCCTGTCTGGGGTTGAACGCCTACCTTCATAAGTGAGCCTCATCAACCGCGTAGGTACAGCCATCGTCAACAGATTCCAGACTGACAGGAAAGGTTATCATGTCTCACGTGCTCATATCGTATCATTGCCCAGGTTGTCGCACCTTTATTCTCTTTTATTACACAGTTTCATTCGCGATTTTGATCATTTGAGGTTCCCCAAAGTGCATAAGCACTCCATACTTCTTATCCTCAATCACATTCATCAGGGCGATAGCAGTCCAGACAATTACTCTGGCACGTTCTAAATATCTTTTTAAGTCCTACAGTGTTCAACGGTAGAGGGCGCTGTACCGATCGGGGATATGTTCTACGGATGTATTTTTAGGAGGCTCAAGTCCTCCTCGATCGATTCTACGATGACACAGTTTGAGTGATGGGACATTTTAAAAATTGGTGTACTTTGCAGTTAATATCTATGCACATTTTATGATGAATTTAATCAAGACGTTGGCACAGTTCGTCATCCCCTCAATAGAGAGCTCTGCATACTAAGCCGGCAGTTTCAAGCTAGTAATCTCTTCACAGGCTTCCACGACTTTCTCTTGCAAATCCTCATCTCTTGCAGCCGGAATCGGCTGACCAATCTTCCCCTTGGGCTCGAAATACCCTCCAGACAGGTTCTGTTCATCATAATTCCCTTCGGCTAACATGACATACGTTTCAACACCATCCTCCACCCTATCTGGAGCACCCTGTCCGCCAAGCTTAGTTGCCACCCACCCGGGGTGCACCGAGGTCACTGATGTGTTCCTGAACCGCCGAGCGACTGCATTGGCGAGGAGCATGACATGAAGCTTAGAACCACAGTATGCCGGGTAACTTTGGTAGCTGGCCTCCCCGCGTTTCAACCAGAACATATCATCCATGCTTGCCATGTCTGCGTACCGGTGCAGGTTTGAGGAAATGAAAACGAGGCGTTTGGGTGGACGCAGCAAACAGGACATCACATAAGGTGCAATAAGGTTGACCGACACCAAGGCTGGAACACCAGTATCCGCATTCTTCCGAAAGCCACCCTGCATGATTCCAGCATTGAGGATGACAGCATCAAAATCACCAATTGCGTTGGCATCGTCGCAGAGCTTCTGCGTGTCTTCCATCCTGGACAAGTCGGCAGCCAACACCCCGGCGGCACCCGGGCACGCAGATTTGGCGTCCACTGCACGTTGCTCATTGCGCGCATGCAGGTATACGGTGTGTCCTCTGTTAACAAGCTGCCTGGCAGCCTCGAGACCAAGCCCGTCGACCGAGCCAGTGATGAGAATGCGAGCCATTTTGCTGATCGCCAATGATTGATGGGCTACTTTCAAGTGATGTACTGTCACGGCTGGAAGCTTCCGAGTTCAGATAAAGGCAGCGAGAAGGGAGGAGAGTACAAGAGTTGGGATACAGTCAAACTGGAAGGTGAGTCTGTTGTATGGCTATTCCCGGGGCCGTCGAAGCAGCGTTTGATGGTTGTGGGGCAAACACTGCACGGAAGTAAAGTCCGGTAACTCCGACGGTTTCCCGACGGATTTGTAGATATGGGATATGATGGATTCTACACGGTGGATGTAGCCAACATCCTGGACCCTGAGTGGAGCTTTTGCCATTTTCCACACGTTCAGGTGGTATCGCCGTGTCCGGGCTTTTTGCCGGAGCTCACATGATGAGAAACTGTCGACGAGCTACTAACCGCTAGACCATAAGCAATTTTCCGCTTCAGCTGATCAGCGGACGGAGAGACATGTCCCAACAGGGACTGACAGTGCACGCTCATAGGCAATATAACCCTGGCATGTTGCTTCACCTGAAGTCTCCCATGGAACGGACAGAAAATTTGTTTACTTCCCGTACTCTATTCGCCTCGTTCTTTCGCTTCGTAAACGGACCTTATCAAATAGCAATGATCAATTTGACCAACGTACATACTACAGAACAATCTACTAATCACACAAATGAATGGTGCCTTTTATGTGGTATCCAAGGTTCATCACGCACCCTGTCGGCACAACCACACCATGGGGCACTCCACTCTCGCGGAAGCTAATGCGTATTGCTGACACCACCAATGAGATACCGACTGTCAGCACGCTATCTAGGTTTTTCATCAGCTAGACCTGTATGGGGCAGTGTGATGGTTCAAGTGTCACCGTTGTCATTGACAATCGAACTGTTTCGAAGTCAGTGGCTCAAGTTTCGTCATTCATGAGTAGAGACGGATTTATAATCGCATCGTATTCAATTCAGAGTTGCCACCACAGCCCAGTAGTGACGAGCTTCATTGTCTGTGGGGTCGCGGTTATATATTTGAACTATGAGCCCTCAAGCTGGCTGGGATCCTCTGGGTTAACACTAACAGCACAACTCTGATCATTCCACTACGATCCATTTCCTTACTCATAATCTCCATTATCATGGCCACCCACCCAGCAATCATCGTACTCGCACTGAAGGGGCCTTTAACAATTCAGCATGTTCCGACTTGGAAGCCTGCCCATCGGGAAATTCAAGTCCGGGTAGAATGGGTTCCATCCGCCCCGTTGGATGTCTGGCAAGTCGATGCCGGGCTCATGGTCCAGTTCCCTCAGACGCTGGGTGATACGGCCGCGGGGACTGTGGTAGCTGTTGGTCCTGATGTCAAGCGCCTCCAAATTGGCGATCGAGTGTTCGGAATGTTTTTCCAGAACAAGACACAAAAGGGTCAGCAGGTATATGTAACTGCACCAGAAACCCTTTTTGGTAAGGTTCGTTCACACACCACTTCCAAGTTATATTGTTTTATGCCAGTTTAACCCGGAGTATCAAGTCCCACAAAGCATTCCATTGTCTGCTGCGGCTACTATACCAACAAACTTCTGCACTGCGTTCTTTGCACTCTTTGAAAAGCTCAAGATTGAGCTGCCTTGGCCGCGTCCAGACAACTTCACCCCATCCGACAAAGACGTACCGGCTCTCATCTGGGGTGCTGCCAGTTCCGTGGGGCAGTCTGCGGTGCAAATCCTCAAACACTGGGGATACACGAACGTGATTGCAACAGCTTCGCCGAAGCATCATGAAAGGATCAAGGCATATGGTGCGGCGCACGTTTTTGACTATCGCGACCCTAATGTTACTGCCTCCATCCTCGAAATCTTGGCTAGCCAGGGGCAATCAAAGAGTATTCGTGTCTTTGACACCGTAGCCTCGAAGTACGGTTCCTTGATTCCAATCTCCAAGATTGCGACACAAGCAGGATCAGCTGTTGCTGCTGTTCTTCCAGTCGTTATCAGCACCTCAGCTGAAAAAGACGGTCTCAAGCTTTCCCCAGATGTCTCTGCGGAAGCGCCCTGGGCATCGGGAGTGGAAATTCACCCCATTGTAGTTTACAACTATGAAGAGGTATGTCGGCACTTGCATATTATGTCTTTTTCTGTTCTATAGGAGTCATCATGGTAATAGCCACTGAGTTTGGGCTAATAATATTTCGTCATCAGAACCAATTTTTGCGGGACCATCTTCAGACAGAGATCATGCCGACGCTCTTGGCCCAAGGTGCTATCAAGCCGAATAATCAGCAGATAGTTGAAGGAGAGACTCTCTTGGATAGGGCGCGCAAAGCTTTAGACATTATGAGAAGTGGCACTGTTAGTGGTGAGCGGCTGGTGTGGCAGGTCTGGACCGAGGAGGAGTTCCCTGAGTTCAAATGATCTTACTGCCGGGAGTGAGCGGTGTTGTGATGTACTAGAGCAAGCCCTGTTGTCTTGGTCTTTAATTTTCCAGTAGAATCGTTTGTTCGTGCTCTCCGCGCTCTTATAAGGAGTTGTTCGTTATGATCACGCGTTTTCCCACTTTGCTAGATATAGCGGAAGAGCGGCCTGGGCTCACAAAAGGAGCACTCAAGCAAGTATGGTCTATAGACAGCCAGTATATCATGAGCAGTCTCTCACTGATCTTGAGAGCACTGTTTCAATGTGTGCGACTGAAGAAACGAAAATCCTAGTCAATGTATTTATGGAAGGAAAGCTCCTCGAAAGCATATATAATCATTCTGAGTCGGATCTAGACTGCTAATATACTTTTCTTCGGAGCTGGTTAAAGATAATAAATGAACCATCACCGACCAGAGACAGTTCTTCCAGCGTTGTCGGACCACGTCTCTCGTTTAGTGCAGATTCGGATGTTTCCCTTTCAGGTTCGTTGTCTGCGTTTTCGCAGAGGGTATCTGCGACCTCCCTGGTGTAGCCATCCGGATCCCAAGCCAATGGTCGTGTCTGCATCTCTTTAACCTTAGTCGCCACAATTCGTTCAATCTCGGTTCTCTCTGCAGGCTCGAGTATGACCAGTCTCTGTTTCCAAACATCATCGATGGGAGTAGACGTCGATCCAAAAAATCGCTGATCAATCTTGTGCCAGTATATCAAGTCAAAGGCAAAGTTGTTCCTCGCTGCATATGCTATCCAGAAATCCCCACTATCCCAGCTGTCTTTCATAGGACCCGACAGTCGCTCGGTATCGTCTAGCCACCCCTGCTCAATCGCCCTATCCTCCTGGTCTCTTATCGCCTTGAGGAAGGTTGGAAGACGTCGTTGATATTCACTGCACCAGTCGTCAAGTCCCTGTGGCCAGTATTCAGGCTTCTCAATTAGCAGCCACCAAGGAGGTGAAAACGAGAATTCAACAGGCGCGGCGTATGTGAAGTCCCAGTCAACAACGCCGACAATCTTCAGCTCTTCGCTCAGTAGGATATTAACTGGGCGGAAGTCATCGCACCAAAGTTTGAACGGGCCTTTATCGAATGCTGTCAACGGCTTTGTCAAATGATGTTCCCTGGCAAGTTTTCGAAAGAGATATCGAGCAACAAGCTTCCGTCGACAGTCGTCCGCTGAATCGATCGCATCATTACTCTGATTGGTGAGGTGTGCAATGTGGAGCTCTGCTAATGCTTCGAAATATGAAGATGTGCTATCGAATGTAGTGTTGGGAAGTTTTGACCGAGGTAGCGAACCCAATCGAATCAGACTATTCATAGACAATGACAAAGGCCGCTGGGTTACTTCCCAGGTAAAATCATCGACCTGGTCTAGTGAGCCTATCCGGGGAAATTTTGTTTTGGAAAGCTTCAGTAAGACTGTTGCAACCTCTCCATACAACGCCTCCAGCTTGGCCTCACTGATATTGGGGTTAAGGACACCACGCTCTTCGCGAGGACAACCAGGCCTGTTGAGAACATCATACATGTTTGTCTTATGCTCAATGTATTCCATGATGATGAACGGACCTAGTCCCCGAGGACTTTCCTCCTTCGATCCCCAGTGACAAACGAAAGGAACAGGAATGGCAATCTGATCATTGATATATCGCATCATAGCAACTTCATTGCGTACTTTCTCTTCGGGAAACATGATTGATCCTGGCTGAATGAAACGTATGACCGTAGAGTTTGCATTCTTGTTCTTCATCTGGAAGGTGATGTTGTACGAGCCTTTCTCCAGATATGTAAATTCATCAACTTGTCCAGGGCCATGGTGTCTTTTCAGGAATTGAGCAACGGACTGTAGAATCTTGGGGTCGAAGAACTGTTGAACCCATGCATTGGTGATAGCTTCAGCCTTATCCAAGGTGACGTCGTCGTAGTGCAGGCGTGGCTTCATGCTTCTTAGGTGCCTCAAGAGGTAAATGTCAGCTGATAGATACGAAACAGAGAGGGCTCGTAGATGGGAATGACTCAAATCGACTCTGAGTGATAGTTATTCTTAGTCTGTGGGTAACAGCGATCAGAAAGACCAGTGGTTTATGCTACGAGAATCCAAGCCCTGGGGAAGAGTGTTGTTTAAATCCCGCATTGACCCCCCACTAAGGCAAGGGGATGCACGTCGAGTCGCACAATTCCCTAAGATCAGCTGCCTGGTCTAGGCTCCTCTACCCCACTATGTGCACGTCAGAATAGATGGGATGACTTCTTAATTTCCTTGGCGGTGCTTTAGATAACTGAGTGAATCTTACACAAAGCCTTTGTTTCCCATGCACAGAGGGTACAATGGCTTGCTCAGGCTGATCGGACACTGCGAGACAAAACCGTGGTGTTTGAGTGTCGTTTTCCTACATACGTAACGGAGACCAGTCATATTTGGAGTTTGCCAAGATCATATAACACGACAAATCGCTGACTTGCCGCGGGTAGTACTTTGGTAATTGCCAGCCTTGCAGCTTTTCACTGCAGCCTTGCGCAAGAATATCCCGGCCGGATAAGGCTCCCCGACAGGAGAAAACCGGCGGTGTCGAACCATACGCCCATGCATTTGCTGCTCTGCATTCTCAAATTGCACTTCTAATCAGAAGGGGTGTTAAGGAAAGACAATATATTCAATTGCTGATCATGCGACTTATATACAAATCTATATGCTATAAGACAGGGGAATTATAGGTCTATGGTCATGATGGGTGGTGATGATGACATGTCTGCCCTTGCCAATAAGTCCTCATAGAAAGGAGCAAAGACAAGAACATTTGATGCGTAATGTAAAGAAAATATCTGCGCACGCAATGGTAGTGGCATGCGAGATTTGTGTTGACCCGGTAGGGCATAATCTAGGGTCGGTTGAGCTGTTCGCGGCGGTAAAAGAGCAGGAAGCCCCAACTGTTCAAACGTTAGAAGAAGCTCACATCAAGAGTAAAGTGGGGAGAGGCTTACCTTGCCAGGAGCTGGAAGAAGAGAGCGATCCAGAACCATGCGTTACCGACCTTGTCCACCGATGTGCCCACATCCGGGGAGATATCCCCAGGACCAATCTTGTTGGGCGCGAAGCCGCGGGCGCAGATGGTGGCGATGGATCCCAGGGCTTGGGCGGCCAGCAGGACGAAGCAGACATGTACTCTAGTCATGGTCTGCAGCAGAATCATACCCAATCCGACTTGTTGAATTTCGTCAAGGAGTCCCAGCCAGAGCCACAGACAGCGGGTCACGATCGATCCTGACACCAAGCTGCCGGCCCAGGGGAGATAGTAGCCGATGTTGGAGGTTCCCCACCAGGTTTGTGCCCATCGGGGAGCACCCAAACTAAGACCAAAGACTGGCAAGATCCAGCTATGTTCCTTCGACAGGGCACGGAATATGACAAGAATGGCCACCCATAGGACGACAAAGAAGCCGAACACAAGGAGGACAATCTCCCAGGGTTTGACGTGCTTGGACGTCCAGAGGAAGGACCAGTTGCGGCCGAAAGCAGCAGAAAGGAACCAATTCTGGATGATGACCATGAAGAAGAACCACAGGATGATGCGTCGACGGAACAGAGACTTGTAGAAGAACAGGATACGACTGGGAGCTTGGCGGTAGTAGTTGGGCAAGCCCAGGGCCAGCAGAACTCCAATGACGAAGCAGAGGGCAGCGATGGGCATCACCACGGCTGTGAGTCGCCAGGAACTCAGGGCCGCCACAGATACACCTCCAACTTCGGCGGCAGTGACCTTGGAGCTCCAGAACCAGAGCGCGACCGTGTAGATCTGGGAGATACCTTGAATGATACTGGCGCGGAACATCCAGTCCTTGACAGGCACGGCACCCTGGTCTCCAAAGTTCAGAGCGAAGAACAACGAACCGCTAGAAGATGCAATGGCGTAGACGCCAGCCGCAACATTCTGAGCCCAGGACCGACCGAGAGAGGTGAGACCGAACGGCGAAATACCGATAACGATGAATGCCAAGCAGTAGATGAACCACGGAAGACTGAGGGAGATGACGGCCGGAAATCGATGATACATGAACCACCACGCGATCGAGGAAAGGCAGTAAATAGCGGCGATGACGTACAGCTTCAAAGCGGTCTCTCCGACCTGACCGACAAGCAGGGTGATTTGTGCCGAGTTGGTGGCGATGATCTGACCCAGTCCCAGGAAGAGCGAATACACTGGCCAATTGCCCAAGCGGCGTCTCATGAATCGCTGAACAGCGATCGGACGCGTGTAGCCCAACCGCATCAGCCAGCGGTCAATCTCATCCTCCCCGTTGAGCTCAGAGTCCTCACTAGAGTAGGACTGGCGGTTGTCTGTACTGGGCCCATCGTGTACGACACTGACAGAGCTCGGAATCGCGATCGCACGGTCCTTGGGTTGTTTCTTGAGCTGGGCGTCGTTGTATGAATTGTAGAACTTGCGCTCACTCTTCATCAAATAGACCTCAATGCAGTAATCCGTAATGGAGTTCTTTTTGTTCAACTTGTCAAGCGACTGTTCGAAGCGACGAGTGAAGTGACCAAGGCTGTCCGTGAAAGTCGGGTCCACCTTTTGCAACTCGAATACGGGCTGGTCCTTGTCCTCGCCACCGAGACTGCTGAGGCGGTTATGGTCGCCAACTACCGAGGGCAACGACAGCATAGAAACAGTGCGGAAATGAGTCATGGGCGGCGGTGTTGGGCACACTGGAGTCGAGATCTGGGAGACGGGGTACGGGGATACGGGTCTGGACAAGTAGGAGGCGCGAGGAGTACTGTCTCCAGTGATCGCATGGGGAGTGAGGGTGTTGTTGACAGCTTGCATGGCCTCCTCCGGTGAAATGTAATCCTCCTGCGGCCTGTGGTCACCTTCCTCAGCGTCGGTGTCGTGCTCATCCTCTCCGTGATCAGTGGAGATCTGGCTCGCGGTCGCTTGCTTCTTTGTCAAGCGCTTTCTGCCCTGACCAGGGCCGGACCGGCGACCCAGTGACAGTTTGCGGTTGAGACTGCTGTCGCGACTGCTTCCCTCGGATGCTTGGATTTCTTGAAGGCGAG